TAGTTCCTTATAATTTGAATGATAAAGAGCCAAAGTTTCCAGATTAGCTGTTGTCTGTGTCTGTCTTACCCTCCTGGTTAATTGAGCAAGATTCCCTTTTGCTTGCCTGCACTCATTATTTTACCAGCCCGGTTTGCTGAAGACCTTGCTGGATGAGTGACTCAGTTTAGTTAAAAATGGTCTTAAATCTACCAGAATAGACCTGATACCTTCAATGGAATCTAGATGTCCATTAATCGTGTTCTGGCGCACATTCTGTCAATGGGAGCTGTTCAAATGGGCCTGAACCGAATGTTCAACCGAGGTAGACCACTTTAAACGTTTGCCCATAAATGTTGTTCCTTCTGCCAAAACATTTGATGGAATGAGCAGTTGAGGGAGTGGAAGGGAAATGGACAGGAGGGTTGGTAGGTGACCTGGTTGCTCTAAATTATTATAACTCAGCCCTAAGGGCAATAACTTAGAAGAACAGAAAATGGAGTCAATTACACTTTCTGCTCTGCTATTGAGGAAAGTAAAGTAACCCTTCGATTTGTCCTGTGGGCTACCATGTGAACATGTCAGCTTCAAGCAACCGCAACCCGCTTGTCACGTATAAAACAGCCTTATTTGCAAAAGCCGCTAAAAGTATTTGTGCTAGTCACGTAAAAGACAACACTGTAGATTGCGCAGGGGATTCATTGATTTGATTTATGGTCAATGGTTGCTTATTTCTGGATCTTTCTTAATAGGTCTTCTTGGATTTGCTGGATTTGTAATGGCTTTTGGTCAAATACAATAAATGATTGATTGATTGAAATATTTTTGTACTGCTTAACATTTAGGGTTTCTAAGCAGTGTGTACATAAATATTTAAAAAGTGGGGGAACAGTCGAATAATTAAGAACGATTAAAATTTCACTGTAAAAGCAGAAAGCTACTATAAGACGCCTTCTAGGCTTGGGGAATCTGTGGGGAAGGCCATAGCCCCATGGCAGAGTGTCTGCTCTCAACGCAGAAGTCCCAGAGTCAATCCAATCAGGGCTCATCCTCACTTTTGCTTGATTGTCTGTAACTTGGACAAAGTTTTGTGTGTGTGTGTGTGTGTGTGTGTGTGTGAGAGAGAGAGAGAGAGAGAGAGAGGGAAAGAGAGAGAGACTTTTGGGGCCTTTGATGAGCCCCAAATGACTTGAGGGTGCTTCCAGACTGTTGCTGTTTTTGGCTGGGATTGAACCTCCAAAACCTCCAAAGGAGGAGAACGGACTACCACCTTCTAAGGTAGTCTGTTCAAAAAGTTCTTCCTAATGTTTAGTTGGAATTACCTTTCTTGCCATTTGAACCCAATGTATTAGGTCCTAGCTTCAGGAGCAACGGCAAACAAGCTCGCTCCATCTTCCATGTGACATCCCTTTAAGTATCTGAAGATGATTCTCATATCACCTCCTGGTCTTATTTTATCCAAGCTAATCATACTCAACTCCTTCAACCGTTCCTCACCAGGTTTGGTTTCCAGATCCTTTATCATCTTGGTTGCCCTCCTCTGCACACCTTCCAGCTTGTCAGTATCCAGGTCAGTCACCTGGAAGCAAATGAACCTAACCATGTGTTGGCAGCTGGCCTCATTTAAAAATAAATAAATGTTCTGGGCTAGTAACTTGCTAGTGAGGCTGTTGTGATGATGTTTGCATAACATAATCTGGTCTGCAGAATTTGCCCTTTCTTGACATTTGTCTTTGGCTCTGCGATGTGCAATAGCCTCATTGTGAGCCAGCTTTATTGTGGTTAGCCATTCACATTGGGGAGGTGTGTATGTGTGTGAGAGAGAGGTTGATCTTCATTTCTGTCACATTTTTTATTTTTTGTATAGCATTCTTTTGCTCTGCTAACATCATGGTTCTGGACTAGAGTCAGAAATTTTAAAAAATAACCAGAGAAGCATTTAAACACCATGCAGTATTATTTATAGGGACCAGGCAAAAAACAGCAACCGCCAAACACTCCAGACGACTTCTGGTTTCCAGATGGCCTGGAATAAAACAGAGACAATGTCGGCTTGTCCTATGAGGGAGACATGCATTACTATTCAGCCTCCTCTCCAGCTCAGACCTCTTTACTTGCTGAGCTTGTCAGGTAGACTGAAGTGAACAAAGGCCTTGATTACCTTCCTCCCAAGGTGAAGGGGAGTGGCCTAGCTAAGCCTGGCAGGACAGTTTACTCTATGGCATTAACCCCTTCACACATTAATTCAACTTAAGCATGTTGGTTATATGAGGCTGCCTATCCCACAAACCCCAAAGCTTTTCGGTCTCCTCCTCACTCCACCAGAGTTCAAAATAGTCCACTAGCCTTACTCTCGGTTGTTATCCTTACATCCCTCTGACTTGTTGCCTGATCTGGCAGCCATACGTAAGGTTAACACATCCTTTCCCAAGAGAGGCTTTCCTGTGCCTTTTAACAACTGCGTACCTTGGTACCTTGGTTCTCAAATGCATTGGTTCTCAAACAACTTGGAACCCCAACACTGCAAACCTGGAAGTGTTCTGGTTTGTGAACTTTTTCCAGTTTGCAAACTTTTTTCAGAAGCCAAACGTGCTCCGTTTCGAGTGTTACGCTTCCAATTTGAGTGTTACGCTGAGATCTGTCTGGTTTTGCTATTCATTTTGTGTTTTTGTAACTCTTTTTTGTTTTTGTGACTGTGTGGAACCCAATTCAGCTACTGATTGATTGATTCTGTGACTGTAGTACATTGTTTATTGCTTTCATTTTTATGGATCGATAGTCCCGTTAGATAGTAAAATTCGTGTTACCTTGCTGTTTTAGGGGTTGTTTTTAAAAGTCTGGAATGGATTGATCCATTTTGCATTACTTTCTATGGGAAAGCGTGCCTTGGTTTTGGAACGTTTTAGTTTTGGAATGGACTTCTGGAACGGATTAAGTTTGAGAACCAAGGTACTACAGTAATGGGATGGAATCAAAGACGAGGTACGGCTTTCTCATTTAGAAAAGATGCATTGTCTGAACGACCTTCTCATCAGCATGGCTGTTTATGGCATAAGAGCCCAGTTTGCAAAGGAGCCAACAACTTTATTAGCAGCCTATGCTTTGCAGCCATAGTGGTGGTGATGACAGCTTAAGAACACCTTTGTCAGGGACCCCCCAGTGGATTCTGTGTTTTCCCTAGCTAGCATTGCTTTCCATTCTCTGCTGGACTGGTTTGGTACTTCCCTAATGAATTAGTTCTTTGAGCCCGTCGTAAGTTTAGATGACTGTGGCATCTTTCTTATCATGTACGGATGCCTTGGAGTAGCTATGGCATTGATAAGGTATAATGCTGTTGTTTCCATGTGGATTGAAGACTATGGGGAAGGGCCATAGCTCAGTGGCAAAGCACCTGCTTTGCATGTAGAAGGTCAATTCCTGGCATCTCCAGGTAGGGCTGGCAGAGAACCCTGCCTGGAGCCCTGGAGAGCCACTGCCAGTCAGTGTAGACACTATTGGGCTATATGGATCAGTGGTTTGACTTCGAAGGAAGCTTCCTTATACTGCTCCTAAGCAGTATAAGAACAAGACTGTGTGTGTGTGTGTGTGTGTGTGTGTGTGTGTGTGTGTTGGGTACTCATGAATGGTAGGTGTTTGTATGAAGTCATTTAATGGTACAATGTATTTATGTTCTTAAGTGTGTTGTGTGTTGAATAACAAGTGACTAACAAGAATTATTGTTGTTGTCTTTTTACTTCCTACTAATAAAGGTTCTGTTTTGAGTAGGAGTTCAACTAACTGAATTCGTGAAGAAGTACTAAAAGTTCCATGTTCCCTGCAAAGCAGGGGCGTGTGGAATAGATGGGCTGGTTTCTGTTTTCTTGCCTTGAGTGCTGCTATGTAAAGCAAAGCTAGGCTTGGCATAACCTGTACTTCCAAACATTCCTGATTTTAAATTTTTAGGCAGGGACAAGTTTCTAGGCCTCATGGTCAAAAGAAAACAAACACTGCCTCACTGGACCAGACTAAGGTCTCACATTCCATTTCCAACAGTGGCTGGACAAATGTTTCTGGAAGCAACTAAGGCTACCCATGTACAGTGCTGGAGGCTAACTCTGATGGCTTGACTTTGGCATCTGATACGCCGAAGTATACTGCCAGGAAAATTGGAAATATTATACACACAGAGAGAGCTAAGAGATGCTCCAGTATTCTGGTGATGGTACAACTGCAGCAGGGACGGTGTCCTTCCAGATGTTTTTGGATTCAAACTCCCAAGCTCAGCTATGGTCAGGGATGATGGGAGTTGTAGTTCAACAGCATCTGGAGGGATCTGTGATCTGAAGCACCGCTCATTCATTGCTTGTTACCACCTTATGTACCTGTTATTGTTCTTCAGTCCTGCACAACTCAACATTGCGGCCAAGTTTTACTCAGAGTAGACCCATTTGAATTAATGGAAACAAGTGAGTCACACCCATTATGCTTAATGGGGTCTGCTGCAGGTAGGACCAGCATTGGCTACTGTCTCCTTTCACCTGCCAGCCCATCATGAACCAGGCATTTAGGTTTGGGCAAAATATGGCCTACAGATTGGAGCCACTTTAGGTAAGGCAAGCACATTTGAACAAATACTCTACACGTGCATGATTTTTGCACGCAAAATAAATCTGAATTCTTGATGCAGAATTTAGACACTTTCAAAACAGATGACAAATAACTCTTATTATGTTCCAAATGTCTTCCTAAATTGACATGCCTCCCTCTCCCTCCCTCCCCCTTTCTGAATGGTGTAATTTTAGAACGGTGCAATTTGGGCATGTGATGCAGCTTTTAGCTCCTCCGGCACGTGCCGAGCCTCTTGAAGCAAACAAGTTTTAAAAGGCAGGAGCCTGCGAGCTGGAAGGGGAGAGGCGAGCCGAGCTTCTCCCTCGGTTGGCTCTCCCACACAAAAGCTGAGCACAAAATGCGTTTGGGAGCCGCTGTTCGGTGCTTAAGCTCTTCCCCAGTGCCAAGGCAAAAAAACAACAAAGAACAACCTCTGCGCTTCCATCCTTTTTTTAATCATTGCAAGAGGTGTGAAGGCCCACTCCATACTTTAATAATAGATTACACGTCCCACAGCTCTTCCCAAAAGTTCATCGCTGCAGAACGCCAACAAAACATTACATAGTACAGTTTAGAACAGGATGAGAAGTCAGCCTTCGTAGAGAGCTCTTCGCCATCCTATCCGCCGTTCAGCAAAACGGAGGGTCTTTGAGTCAAAGCAAAGGCTCCCGCTTCCCCCTTCAGGCTTTGGAGATGTATCCTTCCCGGATAAGGAAGTCGTAGATCTTTCTGGTTTTGTTCACGTCGATCTTGATGAGGGCCCGTGCCTGGGCAAGCCTCAGGCCCCCTTGCTTCTGGCACTCGTTGACTAAGGCCGCTTTGTACTCCAGGTAGGCTCCGGGGACCAAGCGAACTACCTGGCAGAGCTGGGAGAGAAGGTCAGAGGTCACGCACACCCCATCAAACATTTCTCCATGTGGCCCATCAACTTCCCCAAGGCTGCACTACCTCAGTAACCCTTCCAGGTACAGTGGTACCTCGGGTTAAGAACTTAATTTGTTCCGGAGGTCCGTTCTTAACCTGAAACTGTTCTTAACCTGAGGTACCACTTTAGCTAATGGGGCCTCCTGCTGCCACCACCACGCGATTTCTGTTCTCATCCTGAAGCAAAGTTCTTAACCCGAGGTACTATTTCTGGGTTAGCGGAGTCTGTAACCTGAAGCGTCTGTAACCAGAGGTACCACTGTAATGGAAATATTTCAAAATTGGGGGAGGGAGGGAAGCAGCCACCCAAAAATAACATGTAGATTGATTCCAGATGCAGAATGGGGAAATGGAGTGTGGGGAGATAGAACACAAGAGTTGGGGAACCCTTTTCTGCTCGAGGGCCACATTCCTTTCTGGGTAACCCTGCCGGGGGCCACGTGCCACCAGTGGTCAGGGCCAAGGGCAAAAGTGCACAGAGCAATGAAAATGAATGTTGTATTTCGTGCAGTAGGCTTGTTTCTACGCACCTCTTGCCCACCCTCCGTCCAGATAAGCAGGGAGCGTTATTAGAATCCACCACCCTGCTCCAGCCAGGCACAAATGCTTCATGGGGTTGCAAAGCGAGCCCCGCGAGGGGTGGAGCCTGGGCTTGGAGGGTGTGGCTGGCGAAGGGGTGTGGCCTGGGGGGAGTTGGGCTGCATTTGGCCTCTGGGCTGTGGCTCCCTAATCCTCTACTGTAGCGTTCTAGATGCACCTTCCCAAGGTGGGTGCCTTTCAGCGAGTCATTACAAATAGAAAGCTCCCAAAGACATGATCGGAACCACACATGCCCTCCAATAATCCAGAAAGGCCATGTGTTTATCATCCGCCGAAGGTGGGCAAAACCCAGCCTTCTAAATCTCTGCCTGCGTTTGTGCGCACTGGCAGGGAGAGAGAAGAGCTTGCTCCTTCGTAGCACTAGGAAATATAACCAACCTGGGGCGAGGGGGCTAGCAATGACTGACGGAGCCTGATGGGAGACATGCCAATAAAGACAGCTGCCTCTTAATCCCCCGCAGTCGGGCCAAGCCTGCTCCCTTTTATATCTTTTCACAAAATTGGCAGTCGGCTCTGCCCAGCGATAACAGAGCCAGAACAGTTCTGCGGAGCAAGGCTCTGCAGGCGGGAGTTCTTAAATCCTGGAAGTTTATTACCGAGGCAAACCCCCAGCCTCTCCCGGAGACTGAAATGGGGCTTCTGCAAAAGGCCTGCAGTCCAATTTAGCAAGGCGGCAACAGCAGCAGCAGCTGGTCCCCAAAATCCAGCTTGCCTCTGAAGTTCCCAGTGCTATATAATGACCCTGTTGGAGACACCAGCTGCTTATTTCCCCCGCTCCTCCTTCCTTTTAATAAGGAAATGCTCCGGCAAAAGCTCCGGCAGGAACGAGACGGCAAGAGCAGAACGTCTCGGGAAAACACAGCTCCTTCTTGGTGCCGCAGACAAGGTGGCTTCACCTGTAACACGGGAAGGCACCCAAAATGCCAATTTAGTAGCTAACTGGTGGTGTGTTTTGTTGGGCTGGGAAAGCTTATGGGAAAAGGCTGCACATCTAAGATTTGCCTGGGAGGAGCAAAGGAAAGCAGCCCCAAAGGGAATTGGTGTTATCAAGTGGCCCCAGAGGAGGGCTGGAGAAGTACAGTGGTACCTCGGGTTACATACGCTTCAGGTTACAGACTCCACTAACCCAGAAATAGTGCTTCAGGTTAAGAACTTTGCTTCAGGATGAGAACAGAAATCGTGTTCCGGCGGCGCAGCGGCAGCAGGAGGCCCCATTAGCTAAAGTGGTGCTTCAGGTTAAGAACAGTTTCAGGTTAAGTACGGACCTCCGGAATGAATTAAGTACTTAACCCGAGGTACCACTGTATTGTTGCCGTCTCCTTAAAATAAATCCTGGCCCTTTTCTTCTGAACGAGCTCACTTACACTCAACTCTGTTTCTATTTACACACACACACACACACACACACACACACACACACACGGCAGCATAGACACATAGATCCACACTTGGGTACACACGTCTTTTTTCAATATAAGACTAGCTGAGCTGAGGTGGAGGTATTCAGACCCTGTTTGCAGATGCTGGAACACAGAAAGGTGCCTTACACAGAGTCAGACCACTGGTCTGTTTAGCTCAGTGTTGTCTATGCTGAGTGACTGCAGGGTTTCAGGAGTGGGGGTTTCTCTCCCTGACCTGCCTGGAGATGCTCAGGAACAGAACCTGGGACCTTCTGAGTGCAAATCAGACGCCCTGCCACTGAGCTAGAGCCCTTCCTGGCTGAGATCAGACAGGCCCTGTCCCTGTTGAACTTCTGGTGCCTGGTGATGACGAAGTGTCCATCCCTTCTATTTTATGGTTAATGTTAACTGATTTTATGCTGCATCCCTTTTGTATCCCTCCTATATTCCTATTGCACACTGCTTAGAAATTGCAGTTTTAAACTGTACAGTCATACCTCATGTTACGTTTGCTTCATGTTATGTTCTTTCAGGTTACGTCCCACGGCAACCCATAAGTACCAGAAAGGGTTACTTCCGGGTTCCACCGCATGTGCAGAGGCACTAAATTGCGCTTCATGCATACACACAAGCACCAAATCACGCCACGCACCTGCGCAGATACGGCGCTTCAGGTTGCACTCTTTTTATGTTGCGAACGGATCCCGTTCGCAACCAGAGGTACCACTGTATATACGTTATGTAAATAAAGTAAGTGTGGGGCTAATGACATTCTCTTAAGAATGTCGCCCAGCAATATAATCCTATACATAACTGACCACAGTCGCAGGAAAATCTAGTAGCACACTTGTGGTTTTGTAACGATGGGCAACATCACAAAGAATCAAGTGAGCCGGTAATTAGGGCAGCCTTGTAAACAAGCCCATGGAAGTTACTAGCCTGCTAGCAGGTGGCAGAGGGTTCAGGCACTCTGTCCCTTTCGCAGCAGCTCACTGACAACCTATGCTGTGCACAGAGCAGGGGCTTTGCTCCCCTGCCAGCCTGCTTTGCTGAGTGCAGCAGAGGGGAGAAGCAAGGCTGCTGCCTCCCGTGCGCAATTCTGTGCACTCACCAGCATGCATCTCCTCACTGTCTGTGGCCACCAGGCTAGCTCTTAAATACTAGAGCAAACGATCCCTTGCAACGTGTGCCTCAAACTCTCATTGCAATAATTTCACATCTTTCAGCCAGAGCAAGTTGTGGTGGGGAGGACTGTGGCTCAATGAGAAGAGTATCTGCTTTGCCTGCAGAAGGTCCCAAGTTCATCCCCAGGTAGGCAGAACTGTACCCTTGCCTAAAACCCTGGAGAGCTGCTGCCAGTCAGTGTAGACAATATCGAGCTAAATGGACCAATGGTCTGACTTGGTATAAGGCACCTTCCCATGCTCCTATGCAGGCCCCGCAATCAGCTACCTGTTGTTGTAACTGTTTTTGACTGGGCTTATGGTTTGCTGTTGCCCGAGAGGCCAATGGCCCTTTAAAGTTGCGGTTTCCCCAGGCAGCCTCTGTTCCCCATTTACCTCTTTTTCTTTCTCGTTAAGTTTCTCTGTGCCTGGGAGACCAGTGAGGTTCAGCGGCGGTGCGCTCCGTCTACCTGCGAGGAGATAATAAAAGCAGCATAAACACCCAACCGCGGTTAACAAGGAGCTGGTGGCTCTGAAAATCAACTTTTGCTGTTCCTGAAAATGCTGTGGCAGTTGGGAGGGGGGTGGGAAGTCAGGATAGTCAAAGCGGTGCCTGCAGAGAGCATCAACTCTGGTTGTTGGTTTTTTACTCCTTTGATGACTACAGTATCTACAGTCCTAGTGTGCTATTTTGAGAGCACCAAAATGGGGGGGGGGGGGACAACCCACCACAATAGCCTCTGATGCACGTGACAAAGGTTCACTGACATTATAGTAACAATGCAGGAAGAACAAAACGAATGCTGTGGCCCTCCAGATGTTGCTAGATTGATTGATAGATAACAGGGTGAAACTCCCTTTGCCCCACAGCACCAGTCATGTGGGCTGGGGCTGGTGGGAATTTCAAATCTGACATCATCTAGAGGGCTGTAGGATCCCTGCCCCGAAAGAGATGAAGGTGGCGCGGAAAGGATTTGAGATAATACATCATATGCTGCTGTTTTCCCCCAAATCTGTTTTTGAGTTGTGTGTGCTTTTATGAGTTTGACACAGCGTCGACCTCCATGTCTGGGCTAACAATATCTTTTAAAGTTTATGGGGGATGGTCCACAGCTCAGGCTGTCCCTGGCATCTCCAGTGATGAAGGGTTTCAGGTAGCAGAGTAGCGAGACACAGATGTCTGAGAACGGGAGAGAGCTGCTGCCAGTCAGAGCAGACAATATTGGGCTGGATGGACCAGTAGTAAGACGCTCAGTATGCTTTTCACTTTGCCTTGTTTATTTTTGGTTCCTGCAACAAGCCTAGGCACTGTACTTTCCTGGGGATGGGAAGTATAAGTCAGGTTTAGGCAAAACAGGTATTAAAGGGAGTGAGAGAAGCCTTCCAGGAAGCCACTGGTGTGGGAGAGGTTGGAGGGTTGGAATGTTTGTGACTGGGGACCTTCAGTAATGTGTCTGGGTTGCTGTGACCAGGATGAGGACTCTCAAAACTGATGGGGAATTAGATGCCGAATGGGCTTCAACATTTAATCTACTTGGATTTTGCTTAATATCAGGGATGGGGAGCCTGTGGCCCTCTGGACGTTGCTGATTCCGACTCCCATCAGCCAGCATGGCCAACGGTCAGGGATGATGGGAGTTGTAGTCCGGCGACATCTGGAGGGCCCAGATGTTCCCCTCCCCTGCTGTGTGTAATAGCTTTTGATTGCAAGCTACTCCAGCCTCTGGGACTGAGCAGGATAAAAAAATCTCTATCAACATGTTTATTTACTCAGCAGTTAAAAGCCCCACTGAGCTCAATGGTACTTAAGTGTATTTACCAGGAAGTAAGTGCCGCTGGGTTTTCACGGTATGCAATTCCTGGCAAATGTGCTTAGGACTGCAGGCAAAAGCAGGGAGGTGCAATTTGCTCAGCTGCTTAAGTGGGGATTTGAACCTGGCACATTGAGCTGTGAATGCACCTGAACCACACCTAACCCTCACACTGTGCAAAGTGGGGCAGTTATGGGTGACTGAGACATGTCTGTTAGGCTCTGCCACCTTTCCTCTGAGGCGTGCAGCGTGGAAAAAGTTACAGGCTGCAGAGCTGAAATGTGGCTGCGTTACTCACACTGAAGCTCATTCAGGCTTGTGAGATGTCATTGCTGGAAATCTGCAGCCGAGTAATGGCTAAGAGCCCCTATTAGAAAACGAGCTGTCAAGAGAGAAATCTCGTGTGTGTTGTTTTTTTTTAAATAGTACCCACATTCAAGCAGCCTCCCTTTCGCCTCCATCTTGAGGGCCCCCAAAGCAGCATTAACTACTAATGTCTTTTAATACGTTCCTGGCTCCAGCTCCACCATCAAATATTGCATACGGACCACTGATTTGGGGAAAAGACAGCAGAGGGACCTCTTCACAGGAAGGTGCAAACTGAGGAGCTGGAGACACAGCTCACAGCCCCTATATGCGCAGACAGCCACATGCCTGATTGCAACATGTGAAGTGTTCTTTGCCATGGGATGCCATGACTGAAATAAGTCCTTGTCAAGCCAGGATTGAGCTCATGACCCTGGAAGAGAAGGGTGTGTGTGTGTGTGTGTGTGTGTGTGTGTGTGCGCGCACGCTTGTTCTCCCAGCATTCTGTTTTGGCTCGTTTATTCCATTCATTCTTGCATCTATATCCCTCCTTTCCTCCAAGGAGCTCAGGATGGTTCTCGCCGTCTCCAGATTATCCTCACAACCCAGTGAAGAAGGTTTGGCTGAGATTGTGGTCACCCAGTCAGCTTCAAGCGGCTAAGTGGGGATTCGAACCCTGGTCTCCCAGCTCGCACTCTAACCACCACGCCACGCTGGCTGCCAAAGATTTGGGAGCGTAGGAAATGTGGAAGCCTTATACTGAACTTATTCTGAACTGCCTGAATTGATTGGCAGTGGCAATCCAGGGTTTCGGGCAGGCTCCCTCCTACGACAGCTCTGCCTGGAGATGCTGAGGAATGTTGTACCATGCGGCTTTTTTCATGAGTCAATAGACCTTCAGAGGTTTCCTCTCCCAGGGGTAGCACCTCCAAGAGGCCCCTGCTCTGCTGCGGTTGGACTGGTGGGTTTCCGATGCCTGTTTCCTGGTCAGCAAGGAGTTTGGGTGGGAGGAATCAGCAGCTGCCCAGCATGCAGCAACCCAGTCCTTCCTTTTAATAACAGGGTGGTGTGGGATTAGTAGGGCATTAACTGCTAATGGGTATGGCTTGTTTTCCCCATTTCTAACAGCACTGAAACTGGTGCAAGGGCTGGAAATGTGGGCGGAGCCTGGAAAGCACTCACCTGAATTTGAGGTCACCGGCATTGTGGGACTCAGGCCAGAATCTCTGAAAATGAAATTTTAAAAGAAAACGTATTACGAATAAGCCTCGTGTGGCACGAGAAAGCGTCACACACACACTTTTTCCATGTGCAAAAAAGCCCCCCCCCCCCCCATCTCAATCTCAGCTGAGCTATTTTATACTCCTGGGCCTATCTTGTGCTGGTTCCACCCCCTCGCTGAGGTTGGTGGGACAGCCCTTAAATGGGCAGAGCTCTGGCCTAAAGTCTAGCGCTGCACCCCCCTCTGCGAGTGTATGGTCTGCCTGGACCAGCAAGCTCAAGAGTAGCAGTGAGGCCCTGATGGCTGAGGAAGCCAGCCTTCAATGGCTCCAGTTGCCATCTCTGGGGCTTTTGGCTTGGGGCGTGTGCCTCTGGTCTTTCTGGTTGCCTGCGCCAGCGTTACTAGAAGGCAGGACTGTGACAGGCAAAAGTGCAGGAAAGGGCCCAGAATATATGGTACGGAAAGCACAGAGATTTCATGAAAAGTAAGAAACAAGTTAAACTGGAAAGCACGTGGGCAATGCCTGCTGAATTCTCAGAAGACAGAGAATGGGCAAAATTATTATTTATTATTATTATTTTGGCACAGAGTATACATGTTTCTAGTTGGCAAGGCTTATCCTGGGTTTTCCCAGAACAGGCGCTCCCACCTGGGTAGGAAACATGAATTCCTGTTTTACTAGATTATGTTCTTAAAGTCGCTTAGCTCCACCTTTCTTTCATTAACGAGAATCTTGGTCCAGGGCAGATATTTCATGGCAAAATTGATACAGAAGATCCTTAAAAGCAGATTGAACCACTTACTTTTCTTTGTATTATGCCACACCCACACAAGAACCCCCATTTGCTTATTCTGGGTTTATGAAACAGCTGCTCCATGCCAATTTTGCTCTGGTTTCACTAAAAACAACCCCCCCCCCCAATCCTCATTTTTGGTCGACATACATGTCTGCTTGCCGGCTGAGCCACTGCTGACAGGCGCTGCTGTCCTGGATGTACTGAAGGACTTCGGAGAGCATTGTGCGCTTCAGGCACTCCTCCTCGCGGGTCTTTTTGAGCCGGTCATACGTTCTTGCACCTGCGCCAAGAAAACAGGCGTTGATACGGCTCGCCAGACAAGCGAACTGCCACAGGCAGCTGACCCAGCTGCTAAGAAGGCTAAGAAGGCAAAGCAACTTTGACCCAAGTTAGCCAGACCCATGCACTTCCAATGGCTCTGCCCCGAGAAGGGCTGATGTTGGATACAAACCGTATGTACATTAGATGTCAAACGTGGCAGATGTTGACATTCACCAGCGAGTCTTAATGCTGTAGTGCTGGGAAATCCCAGCATTTGCTAGTTCTAGCGGCAATAATTTACACGTGGGAACTTTTTCAGCCCGAGGGCCGCACCTCCTTCAGCTCAGTCTTCTGGAGGCCACATGCCAATGGTGGGCGGGGCCAGAGGCAGCGTGGGTGGGGCAATGAATGTATTTGGAGGCTGGGAGTTGTACAGTGGGCTACGTTCCACACATATACATACCCCTCTCCTCCATCCAGGGAAAAAAAGCATTATCAGAGTTCAAGGAAACATTCCAGCCGGGCAAAAACACTCTAGGTGCAAAGCAGCCAGGAGGGGATGTGAGCTAGGGAGTGTCCCAAGGGCCAGATAAAAGACGCTTTTTGGGGGGGGGGGGGTGATTTACATAACCAGCTGCAAGAGCCAAGGGTCTCTCATCCTGCCAGTGAATTACTGACCTGTTTTCAATTTGAGATTGAAGTGAGCTCCGGGTTAGTTGCTCAGGGATAATTTGTCACGAAAACCAGCTTTGCTTAGGGGGGTCTTGAATATCTGAAGGCTTAGTAAAGGTAAAGGGACCCTGACCGTTAGGTCCAGTCGTGGCCGACTCGGGGGTTGTGGCGTTCATCTCGCTTTATTGGCCAAGGGAGCCGGCGTACAGCTTCCGGGTCATGTGGCCAGCATGACTAAGCTGCTTATGGCAAACCAGAGTGGCTCACGGAAACACCGTTTACCTTCCCGCCGGAGTGGTACCTATTAATCTACTTGCACTTTGACGTGCTTTCGAACTGCTAGGTTGGCAGGAGCTGGGACCGAGCAATGGGAGATCATCCCGTTGCGGGGATTCAAACCGCCGACCTTCTGATCAGCAAGTCCTAGGCTCTGTGGTTTAACCCACAGCGCCATGCGCTCCTTATTCAAGAGACAGCTAGGCTAGGCTTGTCCTGTCTTATGAGCAAAATCAAAAAGCCCAAAGCAACCACTCAGAAGTCATCTTGGCATGAAATGGTGTATAAATACATAAACAAGCAAATAAAATGATGATGTTATGTGAGTTTGTCTGCTGACACAGCTTCTCCAAAGCAGGAAGCTAGACTCTGATGACTAGGCAGGTAGATAAAGTCTTCCCTCTGATGAAAGGCACTCTTGCATTCATGAGTCAAACAGGTAATTCCCCAATGCATTCAGAACTGGTCACTGCTGCAGAATCCAGCTATTTGCCTTGTGGGGCGTTCCCTAAATAATCAAGGGATTCAAAGCAGTTCAAATTGCTTCTTGCCCCACCCCTAAAAGTACAACGGACTGACACGCAAATGAACGTATTTCGGATGGAAATTACTTACGATAACGTCCTGCTTTGAATTAGGTGCCACAGCAGCCCAGCCATGGCTAACTTATTCAGCATGTACTTACTGCAGAAATTGGTGATCCCAGCTGTCCTGTACTCCTGAAGTCGTTTGATTTCCCTTCGCAGCTCAAACTCCACTAGGTAGAATAACAAGAGACATTTTTTTTTAAAAAAGGGAAAACCCTATCCACTACTATACAACCCTGGCTCTTTGTACGTAATGCGGTAGCTGGAGTCGAGTCTGGATCCCTCAGAATTTCAGCCCTACCAAGTTTCTAGCTGTCTTTTGAAAAGGCATTTATTTATATTCATTTTTTGTTGTAAATGTGGGGAACACGTGCCCCCCCCCAATGTATACAGGATAAACATCCGTTAACAAAGGAACTCAGATCTACAATGCTTCCATTGGCTGAGAGCATCCCTGGGGACGGGGACAGGCAGACAGGCTAGGACAACTGCTGAAGTACTTTAATGCAACAAGTCTCTTGAAAAGCTGGCGTGGGAGCCAAGTGGCTGCAGACATGTTAATGAAAGTGACAAAGGGGGAAACCGGGTAGATCAGTGATGCCAGAAATGTGACCCAAGTCCGAGATAGCCGTCTCGAACGGGGATTAGGCACCAGTGTTTGGAAGAGCAGCTTCTTGTAAAACCGCTTGAAAAAAGGAATTTCAGGGGTGGGAAACAGTTTTTCAGCCCGAGGGCTGCATTCCCTTCTGGGGACCATGTGCCAGTGGCGAGTGGGGACAGAAACAAAATGGGTGCAGCAATGAATGTAAAATCTGCCTTCATACACTAGGCTAATTTCTACACACACATCCTTTTCTATCCTCCGTTGGATAGAAGTGTTGTCAGAGCTCAAGGGCACATCTGTGGGGAGTGAACCGGGGACAGTGAGGGGTTTGGTTTGGGGAGAGTTTTGAGGGCCAGACAGAGAAGCATGGAGGGCCACATTTGGCCCCCAGGCCTGAGGTTCCCCACCCCTGCGCTACACATTATAGAATATGGTATACCCTTATGAGTGAAAAACGGTGTGCAAAAGCTAAGAGGGCAAGTTGCAAATTCCCTAGTTTCTTTCTGGCCAGAAACTAGACTGAGGTCCTAAGACTAACCTACCTCACAATATTGTAAGGATAATCTGGAGAGGGAGAAAGTCAAGCATGTCACCATGGAGGAAAGGTGAGATATAAATGTAATAAAAAAAATTAAAATGGCTTTATTTGTAAACTGCTTGAAGGTTTGTTTCGTTTTTTAATTGAAAGACATATATAATTATTACATGTGTCTATGAAGCACACGGAGTTCTTTGAAATGCTATGTAAGTGCTATATATAAATGCTAAAATTATTATTATTACTCTTAATGTTTATTTGCTTCCAAGCAATTAATGGTGATGCGTCAGGGAAGGGGAGAAGAGGAGGGCAAACCGGCCTATCGATTGCTCCATTTTCAGATACACGAGCAGCACCTGCACTTAATCATGTTAAGGGACATTATGAGCTAATTTTTTTAAAAAAACCTTTCCCGAGTAACTAATTAGAAAAGTTTTAGATCTCAATAAAACCACAGCTATGCAGAAACTGCCGCGCCCTTTCTGTGAAAAGTCCCTGGCGTGGAGCACAGAAACAGCTTTGAAGTTGTTGATGTGGGAGTTTCATCAAACAGAAATAAGAGGAAATGTAGAGGGGAATAATCGTTTACAACTGCCTCTGCTGGAATGCAGAGAGGCCAATTAAAGATTGTTAATTATGCAAACTAGATGAGTGGTTAGATGATGGAAGAGTGAGGCACCTTTGAAAGGCAAAGCCGCCGACAGGATGCCAAGTCATGGGATCCCCACGACTTGACACTTAGCGGCAGCTTTGTCAAAACCTTGCTGAAATTCTGCCAGCAAGTGCTTTCTGGGACAGATTTTCTAATAATAAAACAACTCATTAGTAAAGGTAAAGGACCCCTGACCATTAGGTCCAGTCGTGACTGACTCTGGGGTTGCAGCGCTCATCTTGCTTTATTGGCCGAGGGAGCCGGCATACAGCTTCCGGGTCATGTGGCCAGCATGACTAAGCCGCTTCTGGCAAACCAGAGCAGCGCACGGAAACGCCGTTTACCTTCCTGCTGGAGCAGTACCTATTTATCTACTTGCACTTTGACGTGCTTTCGAACTGCTAGGTTGGAAGGAGCAGGGACCGAGCAACGGGAGCTCACCCCGTCACGGGGATTTGAACCGCCGACCTTCTGATCGGCAAGTCCTAGGCTCTGTGGTTTAACCCACAGCGCCACCCGCGTCCCTAAACAACTCATTGGAGGGCTGCAAAACTCCTGAAGTTCAGGAGCCTCCGAGTTCCTCATTTCTACAGCTGTTTCTGTCTCATCCCGCCTCACCCCCACAAAAAAGTGACATTCACATGCTTGGGGTGGTTATCTGCAAAACTGAATATTTGGTTTCCGTGGGGGTAGAACGATTTCATATATCACTTTGCATTGTTTCCTTCGGGGTAAAAGTGCAGAGACTTGGCTTAAATTGTGGGTGGTTCCTTTGTGCTTATGCTGTTTCTTATTCAAAGCCGAGACCAATTAGTAACTGTACTTGAATGAGGGCCAGCTTTTCTACTCTGGACAACTGGGTTAATTTCACAACACCTTGCACAAGACGTTGTGTGTACGTACATGTGTCAGCAACTACTGCCTAGAAACCTGTTGCTTTGTTCCAGGGACATGAATCACAACTGTGTTATATACATGAGAGTTTTGCTTCAAGACATGCAAAAAAAAACCCAACACAGGTATTTGCTGCATGTTAGCTTGGGCAAATGAAAAAACAAATATAGCTGTCACAGTCGGAACAAACTTGCGAACTGCATCAAATCAGTCACTGGGCAAAGCAGGAGGTTTTGATCCCTTCCCTCAAGTATCTGTTCAACAATGACAGAACAGGTTGTGTGTGGTCATTTCTCTCAACCCATTTTCTTTGCTGATCTCCTGTCCTAAAAGAAGGGGTCGGGAGCATCTGTGTCCAGCATAGCCAATAGGGACAGGGATGATGGGAGCTGGGAAGGCCAGAGGTTTGACCACTCCTCTCCACACCGCGGTCTTCCTTACGAGATGTGCTTTTGGAAATAAAACCTTAACAAGCCCTCAACAGACTTTGCGGCCACAAAACAGCCTGTAATAAAGCTATTTATAATACCACTATTGACCTTCTAACTGAAGCAGCTGGAATAGCCAGACTGGTGAGTGTACTTTATATTTGAAATGCTAAGGACTGGGCAGAACCAAATGCACATCTGTCAGCCTCCAGATGTTGCTGGGCTTCATCTCCCATCATCCCTAACCATTGGCCAGGCTGGCTTGGACTGATGAGAGCTGGAGTTCAGCAACATCTGGTTGCCCACCACCATGCTAAAACCTTGGTAAGCAGAATCCATCACTCAAGCAACGAAAAGAAACCAAGTCCCATGCACCAAATATTTTGTGTGCGCGCCTACATGTGTGTCCACACCCAACTGTGCTTCTTTTAAGGCAGGCACCCCCAAACTCAGCCTTCCAGCTGTTTTGGGACTACAATTCCCATCATCCCTGACCACTGGCCCTGTTAGCTAGGGATGATGGGAGTTGTAGTCCCAAAACAGCTGGAGGCCCGAGTTTGGGGGTGCCTGTTTTAAGGGCTATCAGCTATCCAGAAGTTACCGAAATATAACTCCCATCAGCCCTAGCAGTCATGGTCAATGGCCAGGGATGGTGGCAATTTGGCAACATCTGGAGGGCCAAAGGCACAGGGGCTGATTCAATAAAAAGGTTTCACAATTTCCTGCCTTTTTTTTACTGTACCACAATTGCGGCGGAAACTGTATATGCCAATGATATTTGGGGAGGGGGACTTTTACTGCTACTATATATAGAGAGAAAATTCATGTGTGATCCTTAGCATGGTGCAATGTGAAAGAGAAACATAAGCATGAAAGACAGAAGACCAGGTGATGCCTACATGCGTGACTTTCTATGAATTTGTCGTGCTCCGTCGGTCCCAGGATTCTTGCAAAGCGCCTCATGGTCTCGTAAAGATCTTGAACCTCTTTTGGATACCTTCTTTCCAGAACTGCAAGACAAAGGGAGGACACAGAAAGCTGCTTTCTTAGCAAAGGAGAAAAATGCAGATTCAAAGGAAACACCACGAATGCGATGCTGCCTCTTCTTGGGTGGAGTCCGTGAACAATGCACAGGTCAGATAGAAATGATCGTGTGTTTAGCTGAAAATTCCCTATTCGTGGCTATTTATTCTTAACCATACTCCTTAAATGGGTTCTCTCCAGGGCTCTGGTTCATTTTCCAGTGGTGGCTGGTGCCCATTGGGACTGGTGGGGCAGAAGGCAGGGAAGCCAATGGTAGGCAAAGCCAGAGCCAATGACAAGGGGGACCAACGTATTCCAGTTTTGCCCTCCTCCTCCTTGCTGGTTTCTACAAGAGCAACTGTGAGACTAAGGAGGGGGAGAACGCAGGCGGGCAGTGGTGGCACCCCCTGAACTGGCTGTAAGCAGGCAGGCAGGCAGGTGGGGGCTGGCTGAGGGAGCGGGGACTGAGTTTGGTGGGGCAGTGTGCCATTTTCCCTAACGGATCAGCTTCCAGTGCTATTTTCAATCACTGAAATGCGTTCCATGGTGTTAGCCTGCTTGTGTGTTCATGTATCTACCTGCAGAACCCCTCCTCTCAAACCTAAATTTGCAGCTGCTCAGTTCAAGCAACACCAACACAACATCTGGTTATGTGGGGCACAGGTATTACACCTTGTAAGCATGCAGATGTTGGGACTGCGAGTTATCAGGAATGGACTGACATTTTTCTGCTTAGCAGAATCCATCCATTCTGGGCCGATTAGTACCGAGATGACAATCCCAGCAGGCCAAAGGTGTGGGTGACCATAGTATGTGGCTATTGGGTGTCTTGTCTCCAGCTTAATAACAGCAGTTACAATAGTAACAAAAATATACGTGCATTTTAAGTAGCCTTTTTGGAAAAAAAAATGGATTAATATGCTGCTGTTGCATGGGCTTCTAGTGGCCTCCCATCCAAGAGGCTGATAAGATCCCACCATTGCTATAGCCATATACTACCGGCAGAATCAGAGGCACTAGCCTTCTGATACCAGTCACTGGGCGACTATAGCAGGAGAGAGCTGTTTTTCACATGCTCTGCTTGCTTGCCCACCATAAATGCTTAAAGCCCTAAACAACGCAGGCCCCAAGTATCTGAAAGACCACCTCTATCTCCACACACCTTCTCAGGTGTTGAGCTCTGCAGAGGGGTGGGGTGAGCTCTCTTGGTTTATCCGCTACCCTCAGAAGTCCGGGCAATGACACCCGCTGGGGACTTTCTCCGAGGCAACCCCTAAATTGTGGGATTGTGGAGGATTCCCTCCCCATAGAGTCACATCCAGCACTCTCACTTTACAGCTTCTGTTGTGCAATGAAGCTGCACCTCTTTACCCTGGCCTTCAACGAAGTATTTTTGTTTTGCAGGACCCACCTCTTCCGCCGAAATTTATATTGTTCTTATCTGTTTTTATAATTGTACAGATATTGTTATAACCTGTCCTGGGAGCTTATGGTGAAGGGCAGGCAAAAAAACCCACACATATATATAAATGAATCAAATAAAATAAGCAGCTGGTTAGACACTGTGGGAAAGAGGATGCTGGACTAGACAAGCTTTTGGTCTGATCCGGGGGAGCCCCAATGCTGCAGAGTCAGAACATTCGCTGGAACCAATATTTCCCCCCAGAGGTAATTTCACAAACAGAAAATAGCAACACCGAGGTATTTAAAGGGTGAATCAGGCAGCATCCTTTCAGACTAATTTTAGCCAGGCAGCGCAGCCATTAAGGCTGACAGCTGAGATACTCACTCTGGAACTTTCTGAGGTTGATGAGTCCGTGGTCTCTTATAATTCTGTAATTGAAAAAGGTACAGCCTGTATTAGGGCCACTGCCCAACTATAAACAAGCAATCTTGCAGCAGAAAAGTTATCCTGGGAATTCCTAGAATCTCCTTGTTAATAATATTTTCCAAGAAAGGCTAGGCAAAGCTTCTCTTAGGACTACAGTCGTACCTTGGAAGTCGAACAGAATCTGTTCCGGAAGTCCGTTCGACTTCCAAAACGTTCAGAAACCAAGGCACGGCTTCCGATTGGCTGCAGGAAGCTCCTGCAGCCAATCAGAAGCCACGGAACCCGTGTCAGACATTCGGGTTCCAAAGAACGTTCGCAAACCGGAACACTCACTTCTGGGTTTGTGGCGTTCAGGAGCCAAAATGTTCAAGTTGCAAGGCATTCAACAACCAAGGTATGACTGTACTTAAGACACTTCAGCTGTCTTCAGGGCGTGGTGAGAGGCCTTCTCTACACAAGCGTCAGAGTGAGGTGCTAGAATCCTGAGGTGGCAGCATGGAAAGGGCTGTAGCTTAGCGGTAGAGGGTCTGCCTTGCATGCAGAAGGTCCCAGGTTCAACCCCCAGCATCTCCAGGTGGGTCTGGGAAATACTCCCTGCCTCAAACTTGAGGAACTGCTGCCAGTCAGTGTGGGCAGTACTGAGCTAGATGGTCAAATGGTGAGGCAGCTCCCTACGTTTCCATGACCACGACAGTTCAGTCTCCAAGGATGAAAAACACAGTTTTTAAAGTTCTTACCCATGTTCTGTTTTGTCTTTAAACTGCATCCAGGTAAAAAAAATAGTACCTCTCCTGCTGTGCTAGATTTCTGCTTGCAGGGAATTTTTCCACATGGGAGAGCATTCAAAAATGTGACACCTCCTTACATGCTTGCAATTCAAAGCGATATCACACATTCCACTATCACATGCTACTGCGTAGATAAGGCTTCGGTGTCTAAGACCTTCCCAAGTCCATGAAAGCAGCATATGTCTACAGGCTTGTAGACAGCCTCTCCCTTGGTTGACTGTAGCAAATAAAACTTCTTCCACACGTGTTCGCACAACTGTAAAGGCGCAGTGATGATAGCTCTGCCCCGTGTTTGCACAGAGTGACTGCCCCCATGGTATTTCTCTCTCTTGCTAGGAGAAGGCCTGGCTAAGGAGAGGCTGGGGTCCAAACCTGTTTTATTTATAATTCCCAAAACTGGCCAAAACTTGTTAGTCTTTGCTTTTGTGCAGACTTTTATGGAGATACGAAGAGCAATTGCAATGATAAATAGCTATAGAAAAAGGTGCGTGTTAAAGAGACACCCAACTGATAAGTAAGCAGAAAGACAGCCTTTGGAAGCAGTTTTGATTTGCAACACCAAGAGGGCAGCGGGAAGGTATTTATAAACCTTTTATGTAGCTTGCAGCTTTCTATAAATAGAGGCAACGTGATAGCACGGAAAAGGTGCAAGCGTTTTTAAAAGCACCAATTTGGGGACATCAACGTTACTCCTTTAGCAGGAGATGCTAATTAATTCCTACCCTACTTCATATTCTACTGCATGACTTAGCCTTGGAAACAGATTCCAGGCCTGAGGGCCTGGCATTTCCTTACTCTGTGTTAAAACCATAGAGAATTACCAGTGTTGAGACACCTGTAAGTGCACATGATGTTTTCTTACATCTTTATTCCTGACTGGAAAAGCTGCTGGAATGTTTTAATCCAAGTCTGATTTTAACGTTTTAACTGAATTTTATTTTTATTTTGGTATTGTGATATTTGTAGGCTGCTAAGAGTCTATAGTAGTAGAGTGGTACATAAATTGTATAAATAGATTAAAGGGGAAAAAAACCTATTTGGGCAGCCGTGTCCTGCGTGGGACACCCTGTTCCTTGCCTTCCTTCTACCCCAGGGTCTCTCAAACCTGATGGGATCATGCCGTGCTTGTGGATCTAGCACACCCACCTCTCTAAACCTAGAAACTTTACTGGATGTGCTTGCGTTCTACACCCCCTTATTCCGCCTCTTCCTCACCCAGGCCCAAGTTGCATCACTCCTATTGGCCAAGTGGTAGACCATCCTGCCATGCATGCCAGAAGTCTCAGGTTTACTCCCTAGCATCTCCTCCTGCTTCAGAACACTGAAGAGCCACTGCCTGTCAATGCAGACAGTACAGAGATAGATGGATCAATGGGCCTGACTCAATACAAGGCAGCTCCCTATGTTTCTTCCTGCTTCCTCCACCCAACTACCTACATCCCTGGTAGCACGTTCAGCCTGCCAAGCTGGGATTTACTCTCGCCTTCTCCGCTGGGTAGCCCAGTGCGTGGCAGCTGCGAAAAGGGCGAATACCAAACCAAGGATCAGAAATGACTTAGGACCCAAATATCCGAGACCTGCTCCTTCCCTACAGACCTCCTCGGGTGTTAAGATCAGCAGAGGGGGTCCTCTTGCTAGTTCTGCCGCCCACAGAAGTTCATGGTTGGTGGCATTCTCTGTCATGGGATTCCCTCCCCACAGAGGTACATCTCACACCTCTATTATATAGCTTTTGGCAAATGCTGAAGATGCTTCTTTTCACCCCTGGCTTTTGGCACCTGAGATGTGTGCTTCTGGGACCCACCCTATTCCTGTAACTCAGGGGTCAGCAAACTAAGGCCCAGGGGCCGGATCCGGCCCAATCGCCTTCTAAATCCGGCCCGTGGACGGTCCGGGAATCAGTATGTTTTTACATGAGTAGAATGTGTCCTTTTATTTAAAATGCATCTCTGGGTTATTTGTGGGGCATAGGAATTCGTTCATTTCCCCCCTCAAAATATAGTCCGGCCCCCCACAAGGGCTGAGGGACAGTGGACCGGCCCACGGCTGAAAAAGTTTGCTGACCCCTGCTGTAACTGATTTGACTGTAGTTTTAAATTGTTTCACCTGCGCTGGGATCTGCTGGTGAAGGGCAGATTATACTAACAATCCCGCCAATAGCCTAATGGCAGGATAAAAATCTATGGTGCGAACACACTTGAAACTGTCCACAGTTCGGGTTGCCTCAGAAGGCAACTGGAGCAGCTCCCCTATGAGGAAAGGGTACAAGTTCATTTGGGGCCTTTTTGCTTAGAGAAAAGGCGAATAAGAGGCAACATGATAAAATTATGCATAGAGTACAGGAAGTGGATAGCCAAATGTTCTTTCTCCACTCTTTCATAGCGCTAGAACTTGGGAATATCCTGCCCTAAAGCATCATGGGAAAACCTAGCATTTGCCCAGACTTGAACAAGAGCAGTAAATGGCCCTTGCATTACACTGGGATTCTTGCATGCAACTCAAATTAAAAGTCATTTTAATATTTTTAGGCTGAGGTCTGACAAGCGAGTCTCCTCCAGCCACATACTGACTTTAAATTATCTGCTGAAAAGGGCATTTTAACTGGGAGGGTAGGGGGAGAAAAATGCACTAGACTTCCATCAAGTTAACTACTTTTTAATAACGCACCTCGACTTGAACTACACGTTTGAAAAAATATTAGATGTTGGGAGTGTCACTAAATAATTCTACAGAGAGTCAGGTAATTGGCTAAGCTGCTGACACAGAATGTTTTAATTAGCCAACTCATCGGCCTCAAGCTGGAAGTCCACTGTAGCAAAGTCTGTGGTGTCAATTATCTGCGGGTTGCGGTAATTAGAGGATGGAGTTAAGAGTACCGGTGTCTTTATACCAGGATAGACATCACGTGTATAGCTGGAGAGTGGATGGCTTGCCACTTGCTGGATATGTCTATGTTTGAGGTTCTCAGATGGAGGTATGACTCCTTCCAGCAACACCTGCAGCCAAGCTGGTGCCAAACGTAGTGCTCTGCTTTCCTTTGGACCACATCAGTGAGGCTGAGAGCGGGGTCATCTTCTGGGCAGCCCAGAACCTCCAGACACACTCCCCAGGCTTGCGTCCCAAAGAGGTCACTTCGGCATTGCTAATGCAGCAGTTTGACTTCATCCTCACAGCCGCGCTCCATTGCTAATGTGGTTTTTATTATTGTATTTTTTTTTACTGTGATTGTTAGTTTGCTTTGGGACTTTCTTAGTGGGAAGCAATGAATTGAATAAACCTAAACCTTGGTTATTGGGGGAGGGATGTGGAGGCAAAAAGCAAAGCAAAAACTTTGGAAGTCCTTGCCCGCGACAGTCCTACCTTCAGATAACAACTTCAAGGGGAAAAGGTGTAAATATCTGCCACACAACCCCACCTTCTTCATATTCTCTCCCCATGGTTTTCTGGTGTTCATATTCAACACCCAGCCCTGAATAGCTATTCTGCAAAATCGTTGTCACAGAACTCAGCAAGCACACTTAGATTTGAAAGAATGAAAAAGCCAGGAACTCACTTTTTCCTTCGTTGCCTTTCCTTTAACCTCGAGTGATAGATATCTACAACTGCAATCTTCAAAGCTGTGTAAGTTCCAGGAGAGAGGGGAGCAAAAGAGATGAAAAGAATAAATCCTTCACACTTACAGAGAAATATATAGAGAATTAGCACAGAGCTTATCTCCCAAATCCCCAAAACAACAACCTGTTTTCATCACAGCATGAAAAACGACACAGGCCTCAGCAGGGAAGAGACTAGCCAAATCTGGCTTTTGAGATGTTACAAGACAGAAACCTTCTCAAGGCACTGCAGTGGAAGCGGTTTGAAAGTCTGTATATGAACTGCCGCTGTTTTGAGTCTTATTTTTAGCTGCTTTGATTTGATACATGACATATTTGCATTCCATTATTGGAGGGAGAATGCCTCTGAATGCCACTTGCTAGGAATCACAAGCAGTTGCATTTAGATGCTGCACTCAGGGTCTTGCCTGTGGGCTTTTTATAGGGGCATCTTGCGAGCCGCTGTGAGAAGAGGGGTCTTACACATGACCCAGCAAGCTCTTCCTATGAACTGTTTGTGTGTGTGTGTGTGGTGATCCTTATTGTTTTAGGGTAAAACGTGTGACGAATATATAGTTGGGAGCTGTCTTAGGAGGGCTTGCTCTGAGAGGTGGCACAAAAACGTTGAACTGTATAATGTGCCCCTGCGTTGTGGGACCTTGCCCCACTGAGGTGGCTCCCACGCGGCAGGATGTGCGTGTGTTAACATTCCTGCATCTTGCTAAAAGCCAGATAGCACATAAAACACCAATGTTTCAGGGATCCAAACATGGCTCCCCCCAAAAATCAAGAATCGTAACCGAGGCTGAAATATTGCAGTAGCAAACAGTGTGGTGCTGGGGCAGTGGTGGTGCTCCCCTGACCTCCTGACAGCTGAGCCACTACTGCTTATCAGGAGGGAGAGGGATGAGGTGGCAGGAAGGTGGGGGGAGTGCAAACACTTCAGCAGAGCCAACCCAGAGCTCCTGCTGCTGCATTTGCACCATGCTGGCCTCACTGCTGCCTCACCCACTCTTTCCTGGTAAACGACAGGCACTCAGCTGCCAGGAGGTCAAGGGAGCGATGTCCCCTGCAAAGCTGCTCTGTGTGTGTGTATATGTGTGCATACATGTGTGGGGGGGATATTAGGCAAATCAACACAGTAAAAAAAAAATACCATGTAGAATCATAGAATTGTAGAGTTGGAAGGGACCCCGAGAGTCAGCGAGCCTAATTCCCTGCAATGCAGAAATCTCCACAAATGGTCCCCCATCCAATTTGAAACCACACTGGACCCTGCTTAGCTTTGCAAATGTGCTAGCAGTTTTATCGCTGCAGCACTAAAGCAACTGGAGGACCACTAAACCATCCCTTGTTGCTTCCAATCTCTGAGTGGAGATACCCCACATTTCCTCTTATAGCTTCACAACGCAAAACACACCGTGTAAAAGTTCCGAGTCATCCTCCACAAAGTCTATATCCCTTAAATCCCATTCAGCATAGTTGTCAAATTCCTGTGGAAGGAAAAAACAACTATTGACACAGATGCTGGCAAAAGCCAGGATTTCCACTGTCCAACAACAGAAAGCATAACAGAACTTGAACATTTCCCTGTGGTATAAAAACATATGGAATTGGATCGCCGCAAGAAAAAATAACACTTAAATTACAGGTTTCTGAGGGAAAGGAGGGCCCTGAACACTTCTATGCAGTTTAGTGGGAATTTATTTCGTGTTTCGGATTTCAACAGGCAGCAATCTCTTCCTGCACCATCCAGAGAAATATGGATGTCAGGATTTAAGATTGTACAGTTACTCCTTTATTTGCCCTGCCTTGTTTTAGATATCTTTAAGTTGATATTTTGCTGTGGTTTGCATTTAATACTCTGAAAATAAACAAAAGGGGTTTTTAAAAAAAGAAATTTGTGGATTTTTTTTTTAAGGTCTCAAGAACCATCGATTTAATGCAAAGGCAGAGATAGTAAAAATGACAAAAGAGCTTTGCAACAACTCCTCCATGACCAAAGTCTTCAAGGCAGCAAATGGACCACAACACCAGCAATTCTTCTCACAATTCCTGGGGTTGTCCTTGGCGATTTGGGTCATTTTGCTGCCTTGAAGACTTGGACCCAGACTCCTGCACAGCTGGGTGCTCTGGTTTGGTGTAGGAGGGTAGGGAATAAAATAAGACAAAGCAAAAAGTGTTGCTTGTTGATACGCCCACTTCCAGATCCTGATATGAATTTAGCAGGAACTTGATGCCAATTCATCAGAAGCTTATTGTTAGAAGCTAATAACAACAATAGCAGCAGGTGATTTGCAGCGACTCTTCCCCAGTTGTGAGCATCTCTGCTGCATCGACTGTGCATTTAGGCAATCTTGCTACTCCCCCAGCGGGTTCCAAGCGGTATTGCATCCTATGCTTGTTTATTAAGTGCCCAGTGCCAGATAACCAAGCCAAGCCTCTGAACCAGGGGTGGGGAACAGCAGACCCAGGGGCCAAGTGTGGCCCTCCATGCCTATCTGGCCCTTGGAACTCACCACAAGCTACACCCCTTATCCCCCGATTCACACCTCTCACTGCTCCTATTTTGCACCCCAAGTGTATTTCCCTGACTGGGATGCGCCTTGAACTCTGAACATGCCTCCTGCTTGTCGTAGAGAAGGGAGGGCGAGGGTGAGTAGAAAATAGCCTACTGCACAGAAGTAAAAAAAAAATGTATTCCTTGCTCTGCCCACCTTTGCCTCAGGCCTCGCCCACTATGTGGCCCTCAGGAGGTTTGTCAGAAAAGAATGTGGCCCTTGGTTCCCCAACCCTGGTCTGAATCACCACCACAAGCCGAAAATCCCACTATAAGCCCCAAAATATGACATGAGAAATACACTGCAAGTGGTACTGAGAAGTATCACATGCAGAGACGAAAAGGCTTTCATTTCATTCATTCATTCATTCATTCATTCATCCACCCCCCTGCCCCAATTTCATGAATTGGCTCTCGGCGTTGTTTACGAAAACAAAGGGGCGGGGGGAAGATGAATCAGGAAAATAACAAACCAAATTGTAGAGTTGGAAAGGGACTGCAAGGGTCATCTAATCCTACCTCCTGAATGCAGGAAACTTTTGCTCAACGTGGGGCTCGAACCCAGCACGCTCTCATGCTTTACCAACTGAGCCATCCCAGCCATAACGACATTCATCCTATTTGTTTCCAGGAGGAAAGGCAAAGAGCCACGCCAAATTGAGTTCCTACCTCAATGAAGTCTGCTCTTGCTGGCATGTATCCAGCCATATCCCTGGAGAGCAAGGAATCAAAGGTAGGCCGCGGAGGATCTTCAGCAGCTGGGAGGGGGTGGAAAGCATGTTTTAGTAGTCGGGCCAGTTAAAAAAAATTATTTGCACCTCCCCTCCTCTCAAAGCAACGGAGGAAAAAATGGTTTGAATAGCATGCAGGGGAAAGGAAGTGCATTTGTTAGCTTTTTTTAAAAAAAAAGTTCCTAAGTTAATAACTTGCTATGAATTTCTGTAGTGCCTAACTGTACATGTCGCTGATTCATGTCCCTGAAGGCCCATCTCTAGACACAGAATAAGGCATGGGTAGCTAACACAGAGGTCTGCATCTCCAATCATCTCTCACTACAGTCATACCTTGGAAGTCGAACAAAATCCGTTCTAGAAGTCTGTTTGACTTCTGAAATGTTCGCTTTCCAAAGCGCAGCTTCTGATTGGATGCAGGAAGCTCCTGCAGCCAATCAAAAGTCACGGAAGCCCCGTCGGACGTTCGGCTTCCAAAAGAACGTTCGCAAACTGGAACACTCACTCCCAGTTTTCGATTGTTCAGGAGCCGGAACGTTTGAGGTGTTTGGGAGCCGAGGTACGACTGTACTGGTTGTGCTGGCTAGGGCTGATGGAAGTTATAGTCCTAACAGCCTCTGAAGGGCACCACACTGGCTAATCTGGGAATGCGAAATGCTGCCTTTGTCCCTGCCATGGACTCTTACAATAAAACGGGATGGCTGTGTCACTGTGTTGATTCTCTTCCGCTTGCTTCAGATTTAATAGCGTGGATGCAAAGAGGGGGTTGTTGATGAAATGCTTCATGTAATGTTTTTCACACTCCTCTTTCGTCTTTGTGTTCATCTGATTTGCTACATCCTGCCTATAAGAGAGAGAGGAGGGGGAATAGTTCTGGTTATGCGTTGATCAGGAGGAGGATTGCTCCTTTTTGCATTACCCACCAAAGCAGGACGGATCTCAATCTTTAATCAGGCATAAAACTCTCACCAGTTTCCAAAGCCACAATCCATCACAGCTTCTAAGAGGGCCATTTCTTCTTGAGCTGTCCAAGTCGGATCAAGGACGGGGAAGTTGGATGTCTGGCGATATGGGGAAATAAGGAACGGAACTAATTTTGGCTGTGATTCTGAGCACGGTGTTCAGTAGCTTAAATCCCACTCATCACAGCCTTTAGTGACATTTTGAACTTGCCTCGTCACCAAAAATCAAGACGAGGAACAACACGTTAGAACACATATATACAAATGGCACACTAAAGCCCCAACTTGCAACCGGCTGAGCTCTGGACGTCAACTCAGCTCAAGAATCCCCATCTCCTGGTGACAACCAAACTCAGCCCAAATAAAAATGGTCTCATTGATGGTGGCCATCAATGTCTCCTGTGAGAGGGAGATCTGAAGTTTAACTACCGTATTGGCCTGAATATAAGCCACAACCGCACATAAGCCGCACCTTTAAAATTTGGCGACTTTGGGGAGACTTGGGAGCCGCGGACGGGACGAGCGCCATTGCCCTGTGCTGCTTTCTGGGGGGAGCCGCACCGCTTTGCCGGTGGCCTTCCCCCCTTCGCTCATCCGGTGTAGGGGAGGCTTGGGAGTGGCGGGTGGGCTGCACGCTGTTGCCCTGCGCTCCTGTGGGTGGGGGGAGCCGTACCACTTTGCCAGCGGCATAAGGTCATTAATATAAGCCGCACTTTAATTTTTCACAATCAGAATTTGGAAAAAAGTGTGGCTTATATTCGGGCCAATACGGTATGCGCTGTGTGAATAAATGCTTTCTTTGATCTGTCCTGCATCTTCCAACATTCAGCTTCACTGGATGACTGATCTGCGTTGACATCAGAATATAACCACAACATACTCTCTTATTAATACAGATCACATGCATAAGATACATTTAAAGCACATGGCCTTCCCCAAAGAATTCCAGGAACTGTAGTTTGTTAAGGATGCTCAAAAATGTAGCTTGGCCTGATCCGGCAGGCTATCTTATGTTCGTAAATGGTGTTCATAACTCAGTGACTTCCTCCAGAGGCACCATTCCAATCTGGTATGTGGGACTGCAAATGTCCATTGCTGAGTAGTACATTTCCTTAGGTCTACATGTACGAAAACAAATTATTCCAGTAGCTGGGGAACAAGAGATCAGACTGCTGCTTCTGGAATGGCAGTTTAAAAGCTCCAGCAGCACGCCACAGGAATTTCAAGTTATTATCACGTAATGTAAATATCTCACAAGCTATAATTACAGTTAGCCCCTGAAAGTGGTATTACAGAACACAACCAAGACCTCTTCGTTTACTTCTCTGTGGCTATAATTCCAGAAGTAATATGGGCATGACAGATTAAAACACAAACAAAACACACCCCACTACCCCCAAGAAAAACAACCACTGTTCAATGGGAAACCTGTTTTAGGAATTTCAATGGAACAGAAAATGTAACTGTTCGTTGTGACATAACAATTTAACTAAAGTGTTTTCTGGTTAATTCAGTACACGAGGAAAAACATTATTGTTCTACAAAGTAATATCTAGGGTGCCCTCCCCCCTTGCTAGACTACAACTCCCATCATGCCTGACCATTTGGCATGCTGGCTGAAGGGCATTGGGAGTAGTCATTCACAGACAGCAAGAGAGGACCACACTGGCTACCCCGATGTAATGAATCTTCTAATGCAAAGTGGCTAAAACTTGGTCTAGGCAGGACTAGATTGGGCCTTCCAAGCAAATTTTTCTGCTCTCCATCCCCAAGACCCCACTAATTTTGGAAACATCTTTTTCTTCTTTTAATTAGACACAATGCTGGGGTGGGCAGTCATTTAAGGCCAAGCCAGCCCCCTGATGAGGATGCAAATTGCCCCCTCCCTGGTTGCCAGAGTGATCATTAGAAGAGCTGAAAGGAGGCAATATCCTAGGGCTGATCTGCAAGCATTAGCTGGGGGGGGGGGGGCTGTGCATCCTATGTGCTTGTGTGCGTGAGTCTGGCATCACCACAACTACCACTGGCTTCTGACCTCAAATCCCCATTCTATCAAGATCAGGCATCCCCAACCTGCGGCCCTCCAGATGTTTTGGCCTACAACTCCCATGATCCCTAGCTAACAGGACCAGTGGTCAGGGATGATGGGAATTGTAGTCCAAAAGATCTGGAGGGCCAAAGGTTGGGGGTGCCTGATCAAGATGTATCTCCCAGAGATTGACAACGGGAAGAAAAAGCAAGGTAATCAGAAAGGTGCATTTACCACTATTTCATAGGTGTGGTCGCTCTGGTGTTTCTTGTACTCAAATCCTATTGTGAAGCACTGCAAAACAAAGAAGTTTGCCACTAAGTTACTTTTCTTCCTTCTTTCTGTAGATGGGAAACAGGGACTTTATACTGACCGTAAAGAGGTAAAGGAAAAGGACACTGGGATGCCTCGATCACAAATAAAACATCCCTATAGTTATTTCCTGGAACCTTTCTACCAAACAGTTTCCTTTTATTGGTGCTGTGCAATAAACAAACTGTTAAACACACAGGACAAAGGGGCTGACTCCGGCATATAACACCATTGATTATAATTCAGAGTCTCAGGTTGGCAAGAAGACTGCTTTACAACAAAGAATAGCAAGTTGTTTGCAAGTGACTTCCAACAAGACTTTGGCGCAGCTTGGAGTTGTTAGCCCAGGAGTCAGCAGCCATTTTAGGCTAGTGGGCAGATTTGTAATTATGGGAGACAGTCAGAAAATGGTTGCTATGGAGGCATGCTATAATAGCTTCAGCGTAAGAGAGGCTGAGCCGGTACGAACAGGGACTGAGCAGGAAGCACAAACAGTTTCTCAGGTAATGTTGATTTCTGAAGAAATGTTTTCGGAGACCTTTCAGAGCACCGCAGGAGATAATGGCAGGCACACTGGTGCCTTGGGTTCCACGCTGGTGACCCCCTATGTGAGCCACTGCCAGCTATACAAAAGAAAAAGAAAAAGCAGCAGCAAGAGCTGGGAGCTCTTGTCTTATTGACATGTCCTAGTCTGCTTCCTGGTGATCTGGCTACTTGGCTTTCAGCATCCTGGGAGAACACAACAGGCTTGGTAACTCAACCCTCCTTCATTTCTCTCCTTGTAAATGTAAGTTTACCTGCAAGCACAGCAAGAAGGGAGGTGGGCCGCACTCTGCACACTTTATGTAAGGTTCTGCGAGGTAAGAGGAGCACCCTCGGCATGGAGGCTTGTCAAAGGGGTCATCTGTAAAGCCAACAAGACCAATACGTAATAAAGCTTGGGCGCCATTTTGCAAAGCAAACTCCTTCACTTGTTGTCGGCGGAGAAACTGACACAGCAATACAGCTACATGTGAAGGTAAATAGGATACGGTGGGGAAAGTTTGTGGAATATTTGAAAAATCCTAGCATGCAAGCAAGTTCATTAGTAGGGTTAAACAGTTAAAATTATTATCCAGAGAAATGGAAGAATAACTTAAAAACGGAGCAAAGTGGAAAATGCAGTGTTAAAAATTTAAATCAGAAAAGAAACCACAAAAGGGAGGGAGGGAAGTCAAATATGTAATTGTACCAGATGTATTTGCTTGAATGGTGTGTAACTGGGATTTTTTTATTGAGAAAAAAATTAAAAAGAAAAAGATAGATAGGAAACTGCCCTATTCTGAATCAGACCATTGGTCCATCTAGCTCAATTTCAGATCAGAACATTTCCCCGGCCCTTTCTGGCGATGCTGTGTTTTGAATCTGGGACCTTCTGCGTAGGCGAGGGTGTTTTTGTGCCAACAGACACTAGTTGGGTGGACACTGAAACTACTACATGTCCCTAGTGACGCCAGCCATCAAAACTCAAGCTGGTTCATATCTGCTCAACTCCATTCTACGCAGGTGCAGGAAACATTTGGCTGCCCAGACACTGCTGAACTACAGCTCCCATCACCCACAGCAATCACAGCCAGTGGCATGGGATGATGGGAGTAGTAGTTTAATAACATCTGGAGGGCCAAAGGTTCCCCTTGCCTGCACTAGTTGAGATGGAATGCCAGAAAATGGATTTTATATGGATTTCTGGGTTTCCTCTGTAAACCTTGGGGTTTCCCAAGGCTGCTACTACCTCTCCCTTGAATGTGGCTGGGGCCATTTTGGCTACAATAAGGAACACGTTCTCGGAACATGAGAAACAGAAGTAAGTTGCATAGCCACATATCATTCCACATTCACTTATGATCTCGCCAGATCAGGTGGTATATTTCACCTAGCACTACCTATTTATGAAAGTTGGGGATTCACATTGCAAGCACTATCAGCAACCTTTGAGTGACTCTACTTACTGCTGAACGATGTCAGACGCTCCATGTTCCTCCCTTGGGCACCTAAACTTCACTTAAAGACTACAATCTCTCATTGAATTAAGCTTTCCAGTGACGCTCAACCCCTGTAAAAAGAAAAATAAAGATGTGTGCCCGTTTGTAGGCCCCTGGAAGAAAAATATAGGAATATAGGAAGATGCCTTATACAGTGGTGCCTCGCAAGACGAAATTAATTCGTTCCGCAAGTCTCTTCGTCTTGCGAGTTTTTCGTCTTGCGATGCACGGTTTCCCATAGGAATGCATTGAAAATCAATTAATGCGTTCCTAGGGAAACCGCCTTCAGACCAGGTCCGGGGACAGTCTGTCCCCGGACCTCTTCTGAAGGCTGGGGGGGGGGGCAAGGGCTTTTCTTCCCACCCCCAGCATTTTAAAAAACCCCGGGACAGCGGAGGACTTCTCCGCTGTCCGGGCGATCTTAAAATGCTGGCGGGCGGCATTGTAAAATCACCCGGGACAGCGGAGGACTTCTCCGCTGTCCGGGGCAATTTAAAGCCCCTGGGAAGGCAGGCAGGGGGACAAGACTTTGCCCCCGCCAGCCTTCAGAAGAGGTCCTGGACCTCTTCTGAAGGCGGGCGGGGGCGAAAGTCTTGCTCCCCGCCTTCAAAAGCCCTCCGGGACAGGCAGGCAGGGGGAGCAAAGACTTTCGCCCCCGCCCGCCTTCAGAAGGTCTTCCCTCCCCCGCCCGGCTCGGAGCACCGTTCCGAGCCGGGCGGCGGCGGAGGTGTTCCCTCCCCCGCCCGGCTCGGAGCACCGTTCCGAGCCGGGCGGCGAGGGAGGTCTTCCCTCCCCACCGCCCGGCCGGAGCACCGTTCCGAGCCGGGCGGCGGGGAGGTCTTCCTCCCCCCGCCCGGCTCGGAGCACCGTTCCGAGCCGGGCGGCGGCGGCAGGTGTTCCCTCCCCCCGCCCGGCCGGAGCACCGTTCCGAGCCGGGCGGCGGGGAGGTCTTCCTCCCCCGCCCGGCTCGGAGCACCGTTCCGAGCCGGGCGGCGGCGGCAGGTGTTCCCTCCCCCGCCCGGCTCGGAGCACCGTTCCGAGCCGGGCGGCGGCGGCAGGTGTTCCCTCCCCCGCCCGGCTCGGAGCACCGTCCCGAGCCGGGCGGCGGGGAGGTCTTCCCTCCCCACCGCCCGGCTCGGAGCACCGTTCCGAGCCGGGCAGAGGCGGGAGGTCTTCCCTCCCCCGCCCGGCTCGGAGCACCGTTCCGAGCCGGGCGGCGGCGGCAGGTGTTCCCTCCCCCCGCCCGGCTCGGAGCACCGTCCCGAGCCGGGCGGCGGCGGCAGGTGTTCCCTCCCCCGCCCGGCTTAGGAGGAGCCTTCCGAAGCCCCGCGGCGGCCGGGGGAGGTGTACCCGCCCCCCCCCCACGCATCGGAGGAGGTCCGAGGACCCTGGGGAACACGCGCTGCGCTTCCCGCTGTCCCTGAGATTTCCCTATGGGCTGTCGTCTTGCGAAGCAAGCCCATAGGGAAATTCGTTTTGCGAAGCGCCTCCAAAACGGAAAACCCTTTCGTCTAGCGGGTTTTCCGTCTTGCGAGGCGTTCGTCTTGCGGGGTACCACTGTACTGAGTCAGACCATTGGGCCATCTAGCTCAATACTGTCCACACTGACTGGCAGTAGCCTTCCAGGGTTTCAGGCAGGGGATGCTCCCAGCTCTGCCTAGAAATGCCGTCAACAAGAAATAGAGCCGTCAGTGTCATTGGTTCAGTATTGTGGAAGACTCTGCAAATAGAGATTCAGCAGTTGCCTTCTGTTTTAACTTGTGCCCACCTGACCACTTCAACTGGCGGAACTGACACTTTTACATAATACCCACACCGCTTCTGTAAGAACATGATTGTCTAGTGTGGCAACACCGACACTTTGGAACTCCCTGCCAATTGATATAAAACAGGCTCTTTCACCCATCCTTTTCTGTGGCTGCTGAATACATTCTCATTTAGATTGTGTAGAACTGTAGAAGTTTTAAATCATGTCTATTACATTGTAGTTCAAACCTTATCTATGTTTTAAATGACAGCTCTAAATATTTAGTAGTAATTTTATTTTATCCTTTTTGTAAAACGCTTTGAGGTTTTTCTGCAATCAAGCAGTATATAAATTTTATGACATAGATAAAATAATGGGTGTCTGATTTTAACTTTCTATATTGCTTTTACTGTAGTTTTATGTTCCATTGTTGTAAACTCTCTCTGTGTGTATATATACATGCTTTTATAAATATATATGTTTTTATAAATAATAGATAAGACATCTGGAGCATCACAGGTGTTAACACTAAAAATAAGATGGAACAAAAATCAAATTTGATTTTAACAGCAGTTCTATCAATGAGCAGCTGAAGCATGTAGCTAGTGGGAATGGGAGGCAGTAAGGCAGGCTTCCTCAACCTCAGCCCTCCAGATGTTTTTGGCCTACAACTCCCATGATCCCTAGCTAGCAGGACCAGTGGTCAGAGTGATGATGTGGATTGTAGTCTCAAAACATCTGGAGGGCTGAGGTTGAGGAAGCCTGGTGTAAGGTGTACACTCTATGGAAAAAATAAATCAAGAACAACAAAAGGTGTGTCTGTGTGGTTGGGGGGGGTAAATTCCCCCCCCTCCATCACCAGACTCCATAAAGACACAGGTCTTGTCAGGCCCTTCGAAATCAACCTTCCCTTCCTCCCCACAACCTTTTATACTCCCCCCTCCCCAACTGACGCCTCAACGTCACAGCAACCACGCGCTCCCTCGTTCCCCCCTTGGCCAATGAGGTGAAGCAGGCGGCAGCGCACGCGAGAGCGAGTGCCATCCGGGCTCCGCCTCAGACAGCGAGAGCGCACGCGCTGACCAGGGGCGCGCCTGGCTTTCGTTCCATTTCCCCCTCCCCTCCTGAATGTGTCGTTCCTTTCATTTCCCACCCCCCCCCGTCCCAACACACAAGCCACCCGGTTACTTCCGCTCTTCCGACACAGCCGCCCCGCCCCTTTTCTCTCCCTCTCCCCTCCCCGCCGCGAAGCACACCGCAGCCCCGCCCCTTGATTACCTGCCTCGCTTTTGCTCGTCTTTCGCTTGCTTTGCCGACTTGACCCGGCTTTAAATTACGTGCGTTCCACGCAGAACGGGGCGGCACAGGCGGCCCCTCCCTCTCCCCCTCGCAGCCGTCCGTTGCGCTCACGCTCTTTCTCTCTCTCTGGAACGTGCTCGGGCCCGACGGGTGGCTGTGCACGTGGGCTGTCGTGACCGCGTGCGCGTGCGCGCGCTCCCCCTCCCCCTCCCCTCCCCCTCCCGTCTTCCTCTTCACCTCAGAATACTGTACTGTATACTGTATATATATATTCTCATCTCACCTTGAACGCACATAAGTAGAACGAAGAAGGCTCACGGTAGCCGTAGAATATATTCGTAATATGCCAAGATTACTTGGGAGTAAACACATTTAAAAAAAAAAAATGGTTTTCATCTAAAATGAATAATAATAAACCAATAAGGGAAAACGGATTACACAGCTGTGGGGCACGACAAACGGAAATGACAATACATTGCTGAGGAAAAAATGAGCGCCTGTAAAGAAATATACGTTGAGAAAGCTCTATGCGTGCCATATATTTAAAGCACATAGGTAATAGATTTATTTTCCCCCAAATAATACTGGGAACTGTCGCTTAGACGCTGGAGATTTATAGCTCTTTGAGGGGTAAACTACCTTTGGGTAACTGGGAGAACTTTGGGTAATAATAATAAGGGTCACTACAAGGAAGAGTATTGACATGTCTAGGATTCTGCTTAAGCAAAATGTGAAGTGGTGGCTTAAGGTGTTGTTGCATTACAATTTAAATGTTTGGTCAACTTGTACAAATAATTTAAATAAAATGAAGCAAACGTTGATGGCACCAAGTGAAGCAGTTCAGCAGTATTAAAAATAAACATCCACTTGACACACTGCCGAGTTGAGACACAAGTACTTTTTAGAATAAAATATTTTGAATATAAATAAAGGTAAAGGTAAAGGTACCCCTGCCCGTACGGGCCAGTCGTGTCCGACTCTAGGGTTGTGCGCCCATCTCACTTAAGAGGCCGGGGGCCAGCGCTGTCCGCAGACACTTCCGGGCCACGTGGCCAGCGTGACGAAGCTGCTCTGGCGAGCCAGAGCCGCACACGGAAACGCCGTTTACCTTCCCGCTAGTTTACCTCCCCCTATACTTGCACCCCGGGGTGCTTTTGAACTGCTAGGTTGGCAGGCGCTGGGACCGAGCAGCGGGAGCGCACCCCGCCGCAGGGATTCAAACCGCCGACCATGCGATCGGCAAGTCCTAGGCGCTGAGGTTTTACCCACAGCGCCACCCGCGTCCCTTTTGAATATAAATAGGGGAGGGATAATTTTCTTGCAAACACCTGGCACATGTAAAAATGGAAAAATGACCAACCGCCTCTAGGTTTTTATGTGCGTGAAACATGTATAGGATGGTGTTTATGGTAGTGTGTTATATATGTGCTGACAATAAGTTGCGTCAGGTGTGTGTGTAAAGGCTTTGTGTAAATGATTAAATACTTCGACAACTGTACAAAATATATGCATACAACAAATAAAAAATAAACACATAAATGAACAATAACTCAGACAAATGAAAACACTGCCCCACTTAAGCCCAAATAAAGAGAATTTTTAAAAATAAATTTTAATTACATAAAGGGGGAGATGTAGCTTGAATTTGCTATTTCTGAGATCATGTTGAGAATTTTAAACACATACACATGACCCAGTAAATGAGAAAACACCTTTTATTTCACTTATTTCAGAAGCAATGCCTAAACACTCCTGAATTAAGATGTTTTGGGGGTGTTGGGACTTGATGTTAAACTTCTGCCTGGAAAACAAATGAAAAATCTACTTTATAATATAACAAGTCAAACTTTTGCATATTAAACAGTACTGTTAACAAGGGGATGGATTTTGTCAGTTCAATGCAGGACTGGAAAAGCAATTCCAAATCTTTTACTTCCATGTGCAATAATTAACTTGCATGTTTTTTTGTTTTTAAAGATGCCCAACTTGAATGACTTTGAAAGAGGGGGGTACACAAATTGGGCTAGGAATTGCAAGTGGTGAATGGGCTGTCACACTCTGGCCCAGTTTGTGGGCTTCCCATGGGTATCTGGTTCATCACTGTAGGACAGAAAGAAGGGAGGCCAACAGTAGATGGAGCCAGAGTCCATAACAGGGAGAGGCAGAGCCAATTAATTTTGTCTCCATCCTTCTCTCATTTGAGAGGGCAATCCTGAGACAAAGGAGGAGGAAGCTGGCAGCAAATGCCACCTTCTTGACTAGTTGTGAGTTGGGGGGGTGCAGATGTACCACTGGCCTAGTTTAAGAAGACCTTTCTTAAGTTCTTATGGCTGGATTGGTCTTATGTGTGATCTGGCAGGGTTCTACTTGTTCCAGAACCATGGAGTATACGGCTTTTGATGACTACCAGCCACAATGGCTATGTTCTACCTCCACTGAATACCAGTTACTAGGAATCACAAATGAGGAGAGGGTTGCCGCCCTCAAGCCCAAGTTGTAGGCTTCCTTTTGGAGGACCTGGTGCACCGCTGTGAGAGCAGGATGCTGGACTAGATGAGCCTGGTCACGCAGGGCTCTCTTCCTACGCCCAGGGAAGTCTCGTCTAGCTGAATGGAATAAGCACGACTGAATTGTTAAAAACAAACAGACCATGGTGGGGATTCCATGTGCTGCAGGATTTGTGGCTTCCGTCATTTTCTTCTCTTTTGCTTCATGTTTTTGCGTAGGGAAGAGACATTGCCTCCAACAAGGAAGGGAACACTGAGTGAAGAAGAAACTTAATCAGCATGGCTAGGCTGGTCTAACTCTGTCACAAAGCCCCGCCTAAGCCCATGTCTTCAAGACAGACTTCACCAACCTGGTGCCCTCCAGATGTTTTTGGCAGTCAATGCTACCCTCTATATTGGTCATAAATAAGGTACGGCAGGTGGGGGCTGGGTGAAGGCAGGCTGAGGTGGGTGGGGCAGGGCCTCATTTGCCCTAAGGGACTAGCCTCCTGTGCATTGCAATGCTGTGAAGCATGTTTCATCAGCCTCCTGCCTGCCAGCCCCAGACTCCATTGGCTCCTAATCACTAGTACTAGGCTCAAAACCAGGTCCCAGTGTGCTTCCAGATGATCTGTTTAGTGACCATTCATCCTGAGTGCCCCTGGTCCACTTCCTCTGGTTCAGTGTCCCGGTCATTGCTGCACTCTGGGGTCATGACAGGTATTGAGGCCACATTTTGACAGTCTCTCCCTAGAGAAACCTGCCTTATCCACCACTATCAATTTCCTTGGGACTTGGACAGGCCAGGACTTGGGTTGGGTGAATCTGTCTATTTTGGTTTCAGTTTCTCATTTTTCCAGTCTTGAGTTCAGTTCTCCACATTTCCACATCAATTAGTGTTTGTTTGTTTTTTCAAAAATTATCATGAAAACCGATTAGCATTTTATTGCAAATTTATCCCAATACACATACTTGTATGCAGTTTTGCCTATTATACACATTTTTGCAAAGCAATTTCCCAGTGTATTTATTATTACTAATATATGCATTTTATGCTCACGTTATGCATTTTTGCACATTTTACGTGACTGTATAACTATTGCAAAATTCAGAGAAGTGCAACTTTCAAAGGATGGCTGTGTTTCGGTTTGCTTATTGTTTAGAAAAGTGCAAATTAGGTAGGTTCATCTTTAAATGCAATGAATAAATTGAATTTCTCCCCCAATCCTAGCCAGTACATGAAATTTCACCACTATTTGCTCCACACTGAATCCTCTGCAAATATGGGTAAGGGCCCTAGTTCAATGGTGAAGCATCCGCATTACATGCAAAAGGTCCTAGGTCCAATCCTTGCTATCTCCAGAAAGGGCCGGGAGAGAACCCCGCCTGAAACTCTGGAGAGCTGCTGCCAGTCAGTGTAGACAACACTGAGCTAGATGGACCAAGGGTCTGACACGATATAAAGCAGCTTACTTATTTTAAATTGTCGCAGTGATTCGGCACAAGCAAACTTACAGGACAGGGGACTTCGCATACACCAAATACCATAAAGAAGAACATCAGGGGCACCATGACACACAAGATGGCTATTTTCAGGAAGACACCTATCTTTTTCCTGTCCTCCATCTCATCTGTTTCTGGGGACAGAACGAGAAATACGAAGCATAAAATAGGCGAGGTAATGTAATAATGAAAGATAGGATCTGTATTGTAGGGTATGTTCACATTTACAACTTTAAAAGGCAGCACAGTTGTTCCCCTTGCTGCGTTTCAAGATGCATTTGTAGAGTCTTGCTCACATCAGAGAGGGGGTGGGAATGCTTTCACCCAATATGCATGACCTTTTTGTCTTCCTTGCCCCTGCAACCCTCCCCCAACGCCTACTCATGAAACATATGCTAGGGTTGCCATATTTCAAAAAGTAAAATTCTTCACATCCGCAAACCTTTTTTTTAAAGAAACCCATCAAAATTGTTAAGCTTTTTTGGGGAAACCTCCCCCGCAAAATAGTGATTTTAAGCTTTTGGAGCTGTTTCCACTACTTTTTCCATCACATTGCCATACATCCTGGTTTCCCCCTGAAATTTTGCGGATTTAGCAAAATTCCTCCATGACGCCGTTTTTACACCCGGAAACTAGGACACGTCAGGAATTTTCCTGACGTATGGCAAGCCTAGCATATGTTTTCATCTGTGCATGTGCAATGGCTGTCTTAAATGTTCACAGCACAGATACAGTGGATTAAGTTTTCTAGTCAGATTTAATCTGGATCAGGGCTCGGGGGGACCGCATCGGACAGCAGTATTTGTCAAGAAACTGCAGGATCAATATGGACCATGGCTAACATGTGAATGTGGCTTCAAAAAGTAGCACTGGGAGCCACTGGATGTGGAGTAAGCATTAATGCGAACACATCTGTAGTCTCAAGACCAGGCTTCCTCAACCTTGGCCCTCCATATGTTTTGAGACTACAATTCCCATTATCCCTGACCACTGGCCTTCTAGCTAGGGATCATGGGAGTTGTAGGCCAAAAACATCTGAAGGGCCAAGGTTGAGGAAGCCTGGTCAAGACATTTTGGTGTCTGAGGTGGAAAATCTGAGTGGTATTTTCCTACCTTTCAGCACACCAACAGTGACTGGTGGGGCAGAAAGCGGGAAGACTAACAGTAGGTGGAGCCAGAGCTAATGATGGGCAGAGCCATGTAATACTACTTTTAGTCCTCCTCTTCATTGAGTTCTACAATGGCAAAACTGAGAATAAGGAGGAGATAGCTGACAGTGTAATGAGAGAGCTTGTAATTTGTTGACACTCCCTCCGTGTTAAGTATTTGGCAATCTGAGGACTTGCTGTGTCCAGTTCTGGGCACCACAATTTAAGAAGGATATTGACAAGCTAGAACACGTGCAGAGCTTTATGAGGAATGGTTGAGGGAGTTGGCTATGCTTAGCCTTCTAAAGAGGAGACTGAGATGATATATCTTCAAATGGATAAGGGACTCCCACATGGAGAATGGAGCAAGCTTGTTTTCTCCTGCTCCAGAGGGCAGGACCCAAACCAGGGGATTCAAGTTACAAGAAAGGATATTCCAACTAAACATAAGGAAGAACTTTCTGACTGTAAGAGCTGATGGTGAAACAGGTGGTAGACTCTCCTTCCTTTGAGGTTTTTAAACAGAGGTTGGGTGGTCCTAGCTGAGATTCCTGCATTGCAGGGCTTGGACTAGATGACCCTTAGGGTCCCTTCCAACTCTACACTTCTATGATTCTATGATCTTTACTAATTATACTAATTATTTGTTAAATTCACTAGGACTGTTAGCTGCTTTGAGATGGGATTCCTTCAATCCGCAGAAGAACTCCTTGGTGAATTTTGCACCTCAAGTCATGCAAAAAAGGTAGGATCTAAGCTTTTTTTTAAAAAATAATGATTACAATTTAAGTCTCCCCTGACTTCTGTCCCTGCAATATAGCACAGTGTGCAGTATTTCTTTCAGCTAATTATCCTTCTTACTTAAGCAAAACTGAAAAAAACCACAAATTAGTTACCTTGACATGTTGTATTGATTCGGATTTCATTTTCCTTTTCCAAACTTCTTGCAAAATTTTCATTATTAGTTTGATTGCTGATGATGAAACAATCCGACACCCCTGGCAGAAGCACTGTGAACAGAAATTGTATCTGGGGTGTGTTTATCTGCCAGGGAGTTAAATTAGAAAAGTTGAAAAAGAATGCTTGCATCTTGCAATGTCCCCGATGTCAACACCTCCCCCCCAGCATTATACATATGTTAAAAAACCTGGGTGCCATTTTTTCAGCCCAAGGGCCACATTCTCTTTTGAAGAACCATATGAGGGCCACATGCAGGGTCAGAGGCAAAAAGGAACAATTACCTTTTAACAGTAGGCTAGTTTATACACACACTCACACCCCCTTCTCTGCCCTCTCTCCTGACAAGCAAGAGGTATTATTATCCAAGGACACATTCCAGCCAGGCACACAATTCTCAGGCTTCAGTGCAAGACCAGTGAGGGGCGTGGCCTGGGAGGAGTTCCAAGGGCCAGATACAGAGGTCCAAAGGGCCACACTCAGCTCCCAGGCCTGAAGTTTGCCATTCGTGTCAGGGATGAGTCATAGAAGAGGGTAAGATAGCAGGGGGCCGCTAGGGGCGCCTTGGAAGATGGCGGATATTAACATCTATCCAGCTCGCACGAGGTAATTAGAGGCTGATTATGGGGAGTAAATCAGTCTCCCTCGTCTCTCCAGGGGGGAGAGACACAGTTTTCACCTGCTGTTGACATAAATCACCCCCGAGTTTGGAAGAAGGAGGGGGTGAGGCACTGGGTGCACAACCCTCGGCGGGCCTCGGAACTCCTCCGAAGCTGCTTCCAGGTGCGAAACTAGTTGCGTTACTTAAAAATAAAAAAATTGGTGAAAGATAATGCACATGCTTCAAGAGAGGCAGGAGGTTTTTATCTGCTAACAATTTTACCATCGAAATGAAGAAGACTGAGACGGAAGATTACATCAAAGTACTACAGTCATGGTATGCGGAATGGAATGCAACGGAACTGAAAGAGGGGCGAAATGACTTTTTTTTTTTGCTCTATGTGATTAACTAATAACCCTCCCTCTTAGAAGATCCGTCACAGCAATTAATTGGCAAATGGGACCAGAAATGAACTGTATGAGAATAATATGAACTTAAAGGTTTTATTTTGTGAAGGATTTGGAAAGAAGAAGGGCTCTCTTTGTGATGCAGTAAGAATGGAAATGTGATACGAGACCTGTGTTGCAGGAGGTTTGGTCTTGGGGAGGGCGAGCCAAAGATTTATTATTTTCGATTTCATCGGAACGACAAAATGGTGATTGCTTGCTCGAGCAGACATGCCTGAACTATTGGATGAGAGTGATTTATGAGAGAGCATTACAAAGCCCACACAGAAACACAAATAAGACTGTTTTTTTTCCAACCCACTTGCAGAGCAACTCGGAGGTGAATGAAAAGGAAAATGAGTAATGACAAGGATTGAGAAGAGGGGACTGGAAATATCATTCTTAATATGAAAGCAGCACAAATATTTGAGGATTGGACTCCTGCCGATCAAGAAGCATGGGTACCCCCCACAAAAATTTATAATTTGGAAAATAATTGGATTATATGATTTGTATTGTTATAATTTGGATTAATTGGTTTGATGTGTTTAATTTGGTAAGATGAAACTTAATAAAAATTATTTAAAAAAAAAAGAAAAGAAGAGGGTAAGATAGCAGTGGGCCCACTGAAATGAACAGGCCGATGTCTATTAAGTTCAGTGGGTCTATTCTGAATTGAACTGACATGGAATACAACCCAATGCATGGCCCTCAAGCTCTCCTTCCTTTCCTTACCTTTCCCCATAATACTAGCTTCTGCCTGACTCTGGAGGCTCTTTCTGTGATCGGCCGATATCAAGCAGCATTTAGCAGCACAGCCCCTCTCATCAGGATCCGCGATTTGTTTCAGGCCATAGAAGAGATCCATAGCTTTTAGTTTCCCTCTGTACATCTTTTCGGAAACAATGAAGTGTACTTGCACGGTGCCTTGAGGTCCAGAACATTGCAAAGCAGCCACAGTGTGATTTCTGGACAACTCCTCTCTAGATGTGTTTTCACTTTCTGTGGAAAGACAAAGTAAAAACAACAACCCAAAACCAGTTGTTACTTAAGATAAAGGAATTTAATAAGTTGGTCTTAGGATTCAGCTACATTGGCTAAGAAAAAGCGTTTATATGTGTTGTATATGCATTATAACACTGTGGCACCAGATGGCGCTGTGGAGTTCCGTTTTTGCCAACCGGATTTCTCATACAAAGTTTACAAAGCACTTAACTTAAACGCTTCTTTGATGTGTCTAGATCCAGCCTTAGACCATTCCAGCCTATGCCTTGCCACCTCTGAAATATCACCTTCCTTGCATTCCAGCTTGTTTGTGCCCTTCTCACCTTCCTTTCTCCTCCTTCTCACTTCTTTGCACACTTGCTTAAAAGAAGAGGCAGATTCACATGTGAGCTCACTCTCTGCGGAAAGGGTGGGGAATCTCTGGGCCCCAGACCTAGTTAGGTCCAGTGTGACTTGCTGTGCTATAGAAATCAATGGTATGGAATACTGTGTGCATTTCTGCTCACTGCACCTCAAAAAGGATATTGTGGAGCTGAGGAAGGTTCAGAAAAAGGCAACTGAAATGATCAAGGGGGTGAAGCAACTCCCCTATACAGTATAGGAAAGGTTGCAGCATTTGGGTCTTTTTAGTTTAGAGAAAAGAAAAGAGAATCGTAGAGTTGGAAGGGACCACAAGTGCCATCTAGTCCAACCCCATGCAATGCAGGAACCCAAAACAGGGCTCAAACTTGCGACCCTGAGATTAAGAGTCTCATGTTCTACCGACTGAGCTAACAAGAGACGACTTGATAAAATTATGCATGGTGTGTAGGAGAAATGGACAGAGAGCTTTCTGCATCTCTCATAGCAGTGGTGCACAGGGACATCCAAAGAAGCTGAATGTTGGAAGATTCAGGAGAGGCAAAAGAAAGTACTTCTACTCACAGCAGTGTATACTTAACCTGTGGAACTCGCTGCCACAGGAGGCACTAATAGCCACCAAACTGTGTAGCTTTCAAAGAGGATTTAGACAAATTCATGGAGGATTATCAATGAGTACTAGCCATGACGGCTATGTTCTGCCTCCAGTAGCTGGCTGGAAACAGCAGGAGGGAAGAGCGCTGTTGCACTCGGGTCCTACTTGCAGGTTTCCAGTCGGCATCTGGGTGGTCGCTGTGAGAGCAGAATGCTGAGAATGCCTCCTGCCTCGATGATGTATGTGGTGGAATGCAAAGCAATGAATTTTCAATAAACAGATGATGTTATACATGTTCACTGCAAAATTTGTGCAAACAAATACGAATGCTCAATAACCAGGTCATCAGGAAGCAACCTGAATTAACCTCTTTTTGAAGCCAAAGTGAGGGACCTCTGGCTTCCCACAGATGACGTTGCTGGACCAAGACTCTCACCATCCTACTCTGCTTGCCAGCCACACTGGCTGCAAGGGCTGATGGGAGCTGGGAGTCCCACAACACCTGGAAGGCTGTATGTGCTCCCCATCCCTGCTTTAAACAGAGGGTTCCTTGAGAAATCTCAGTGGTTTTGGCGGCCTCTCCAGAGGAGAAGGCATTCCTGAAGCTCTCCTACCTTTCAGTATGATGGATATTCTTTTTGTGCTTTTAGGAAGGAGTTCAGAGAATCTTTGCACACAACAGTGATAGTTCTGGAGTCCTGAAAGGGAATGGGCAGAATGGATGAACAGCCTTATATAGGTGGACATTCCTCTCCAATTTGTTTGTTCATAGCTGAGAAAAGTCTCCCCATTGCTGCAATGTCTATAATGGTCCATTGCTCTTCCAAACTAGGTTTCTTTATCCTGAAGTTGGCCCCCTTATAGGAAAAACAGAGCTGGGAAGGAAGAGGTAGAGTGTGCTTAACTCTCCTCCTGGTGGCTCCTTTGGGGTCCTTTGGGGTGTGCCTGCAACTTGCACCTGGAACCCTGCAGTGGAAAAGTCTTATGGGGGCGAGGGTGGTTTTCAGTGAAAAAGCACCAGCTAGGGAAAGGGTTCTCTGCTCCTGCAGCGGCTTTTTCCTTTGGCCCTCCAGATGTTAATGAACTACAATTCCTGTCAGCACCAGCAAGCATTGCTAAAGGGCTAGGGATGATAGGAGTTGTAGTTCAGCTCACCTGGAGGTCCAAAGGTCTCCCAAACGTACCCTAGAAGAAACAACCACCACATGTGTTTTATTCACGTTTCTATGAACATATTGTTGTGAGCTTGGGGTATATGTGTGTTAGGCTGTATAGTCCTACTTTGACACTCTAACCACAACTCCACACTGGCTGTAATTTTGGACACGCAACCTTGGGAAAAGTCCCATTTTGCCCAGTGGAACTTTCTTATGAGTTAAATGCATTCTGCATGTTTCACTGAGAAACTCAACCCACTATTTATATATTTTTTTCTTGTACAATTTGTTTGGATTCCTTCCTTTACCTTTTGTATTGGAATATAGAATAATATTTTTTTAACAGAAAGAGTGATTTGCTTACCTTGCTGACTAAAATCTTGCATCAGCGATAAACTAAACAACAGTATAATATCCATAATGTTGGAATGAGAATTAGGTCATGATTTACTGTTCAATTCCTTGTTTTCTTTTCTTCTATATGCACAAGCCAGTTTGAGGTGGAAGTTGCTTCTTAAAAGGGACTGTAAAATTGCTAGGTAGAGTTGGGAAAAAATTAATATTGTTCCCCCAAAAGATCACGATTGCCCTGATTTAAAATGCCTGAAATCAGAAAATGCAAACTAATTCATCTGACAGTGTTGACTGTTTCCTCCTTTATTTTAGCAGTTTATTCCATTTTAAGATCTTTTATTGCCACAAGAAGATGTGCTCTAGGTAATAATTTCCATTATAAGCATAGTGTCCACAGGTTTCTCTTAAGCATTAAATGAAAGATTAACAGGAGGAACTCAGTCCTCTAGGGATTGCAGCCTGTATATATACGGACAAAAAAAACCCTCATCTATGCCTATGCCTGAAATTCTCTTCTGTTCCATTGTGCTGTATCCAGTTCTAGAATGGATAGGTTATGCTGCTTCTGTTGTGTGGCCTTCTAGAATTTGGGACACTTCCAGAGAACCTGTTTATTGAACATTCATCCTGATTTGCTTGTAGGACATAAGTCAATGGCATACCTTCCAAGTGTCCCTGTTTTCCAGGGACAGTCCCAGAATAATGAAAGCCATCTTGCCTTTGATCCCGGAATGTCCCTATTTTCCCTGCCAGCCCCACTGCCGCCAAGCTCGGGGAGGAGGGTGAACCAGCACTTGTGCTGAGCGGCTGCTACAGCTGTGAGGGAGTATCCCCTAGCCTCTCCATGGCCTCTCCATGGCCACCGCGTCTGCAGCATCTGCTGGAGAGAAGGAGAGGCTGCCACTGCCAAGGCCCAGCCTTGCATGATGAGCAGCTGGCTCTGAGGGGCAGGCAGAGGAGGGCAGCACCACCCTGGGTGGGAAGAAAGGGGAAGGAATGAAAGGGGGATTACCGGGTTTTCTCAGAACGGTGGAGTGGTGTACTGGTGACGGAATTCCCCCTTCTTTTGGACACTGAGGTCCAGCGCTGAGGGCATTCTGGCGGTTCCCTTACTGTGAGAAGTGAGGTTACAGGGAACCAGGCAGAGGGCCTTCTCGGTAATGGCGCCCACCCTGTGGAACGCCCTCCCACCAGATACCAAGGAAATAAATAACTATCCGATTCTTAGAAGACATCTGAAGGCAGCCCTGTTTAGGGAAGTTTTTAATGTTTTGAAGTTTTATTCTGTTTTTAATGTTCTGTTGAAAGCTGCCCAGAGTGGCTGGGGAAATCCAGCCAGATGGGCAGGGTAGAAATAATATTTTATTTATTTATTTATTTATTTATTTATTTTATTATTATTGGAAATGCTCTGCGGAGGGGAATTGGAAGTCAAGGAGGGTCAGTTGGGAGGGGAGATTGAGAAATGTCCCTATTTTCAAATGAGGAATGTTTGAGCTTTTGCAATGGCCCAACTAGTCCAGCATCCTGTTCTCACAGTAGCCAACCAGACGCCTCTCCCGGGAAGCCCGCAAACAGGACCTGAACATGACAGTACTCTCCCTACTTGTGATTCCCAGCAATTGGTATTCAGTGGCATACTGCCTTGGACAGTAGAGATGGATTGCAGCTGTCATGGCTAGTTGGTTTTTTGTCTAATCCTGTTATAAAGCCATCCAAGTTGGATCAGCCATAAGGCCAGTCTAGCCGTAAGAAAGTAAGAAAAGCCCTGCTGGATCAGGGCCAGTCTAGTCCAGCCAGCTGTTCACGAAGTGACCAACAAGTTGGCCCAGTGGGAAGCCTAAAAGCAGGACCTGAGTGCGAGAGCAACTCTCCCCACCTGCTTTTCCCAGAAGCCTGGCCTTCAGAGGCACAGTGCCTCCAACTGTGGAGGGAAAACATAGCCACTGTAGCTAGAAACTATTCACAGCCTTTTCTTCCAATGTTTGCATTTTTCTGTTTGTTTTTAAGGAGTATATAGGCTGTCTTGGGGCCTTTCTAACTTCGTTTTGCAAAAAAATCACACTTCAGAGTAGATTTACCACTGCACACATTTAAAGCATATTCAGTGCACATTTAAAGCACACCCCCACAGTGGTACAATTCCCATTACCAGGGCTGGCCCACCCATGAAGCAGGGTGAAGCAGCTGCCTCAGGTGGCGGAAGCCCCCAAGGCGGTGCAGCCACTGGCACCCTGCCCACCCTGCCGCTGCAGGCACTGGCGAAGTGGGGCGGCGGGAGAGGCAGCAGGGCAAAGATGGACATGCTGCCCAGCACCCATAACAAAAGACAATTCCCAGAATTCTTTGGGGGAAGCCATATGCTTTTAATGTCTATTGAATGTGCTTCAAATGTATGGTGCGTATCTGCCTTTCAGTTTCTTTTGCGGCCCTTGGTTTGAAAGTCATCTGTTCAAAGGATGTTTGAAGGATTCGTTCTTCTTCCTGTTGTCAACACAAGGTGGTGATAGAGATTGGCTTTGCAACTTAGTTTTCTTTATCCTGAAACAGCTGTGGTAACTGCGTTGCTGGATTTTCTTTTTTGGAACAGAATGGCTTTGTGAAAACTCAGTTTGGTAGAAATGGACTGTTACTGGATTAGGGATTGAGCTGGATGACTGCTTGGAGGTGATGAATTTGATTGATGTTGAAGCCTTGTTGGCTACTCCTGAAGAACATGCACACTCCTACCTCTAAAGCACATTAGAACATTTAGATTCAGCTTGTTTCAACTGGATCTGACTTCTACTCGGATTCTTTAGAAAAGTAAAGTTTGTTCATATGAGCTTTATTTCTGTGTGTAATGCTGGGGGCCTGATTTGAGAGAGCAAGGAAAGAAGGAATCAGAGGAGTTGCGCTCATGATGATCGCTCAAAAATCCAAATGTGCCCACAGGCTTTAAAAGGTTGTGAATCTCTGACCTTAAGTCTCACTCTGCAGTGACCAAATTCAAAGGAAGCCAAAACCCTGGGGAAACGCTTGCACCCCTGGACAGAGATGTAATCTGTGATGTTGTCTTGCTTTGTTCGCTTTCTGCAAATAATTGAGCCCATCCCACTTTGCAGCTCTTTCTCTTTCCCAATTCTGATGCTCCTTCGTAGGATTTTGAAATTGCTTTCAAAGTTTGATGTGTGTTTCACAACATTAATTCCAAATAACATGTTTGGTTTATGTAATTTGACACAATTTTACTACAGACACACAATGTATGTTTATGTGGAAAGGAGATTACTTGCGTAAAGTGATGCTAACATAAAAGGACATATTGCTACAAAAAAGCCCCCCCAATGAAAATAATGTAGTCCAGGATATTGTAGTCTCACATAATCTTGTGGAATCTTGCTCAATCTATACAGTGGTACCTCGGGTTAAGATCTTAATTCGTTCTGGAGGTCCGTTCTTAACCTGAAACTGTTCTTAACCTGAGGTACCACTTTAGCTAATGGGGCCTCCCGCCGCCGCCATGTGATTTTTGTTTTCATCCTGAAGCAAAGTTCTTAACCCAAGGTACTATTTCTGGGTTAGCGGAATCTGTAACCTGAGGTACCACTGTACTGACTTTGATGAGGCCATGAAATAGTGCAGGGGTGTCAAACTCAAATTCATCGGGGGCCGCATCAGCAGTTTGGTCACCCTCAAAGGGCCGGTTGTATCTGTAGGACTTACAGTACAGGAGAGAAGGGTTCAGGCAGCCGTTGGATCTGTCACATCACAGGATGGCATGCGCTCAATATAAAAACAAGTGGAGGTTTCCTGAATGCATGTAAAGTGGAGGTTTCCTGTGTAGAACGGCCGGCGCCGCTAGAGGGCAGACGTTCTCTGGCTTGTAGGCTGCCGCACATGCGCTGAAGAGGCGGCTTTCTTGTGTCAAAAAAAGAAGAAGCGAGAATAAAAGGTGAAGGCTGGCGGCTGGTGGCGGCTACACGGGCCACATGACGAGGTCTGGCGGGCCTTGTGTTTGACACCCGTGAAATAGTGAATTATGTTATACCGTATTTTGAAAGCCATTCTGAAAAATGAAAACATTGTTCACTCTCCTACCCCTGGAATTCTAGCTAATGGCTACTGTTCATATGAGAGAGAGAGAGAGAGAGAGAGAGAGAGAGAGAGAGAGATTACACACATGTATCAGAGGCAGTGGTACTGGAAGAGGCAAATATCACCTGTGTTGAAGCAATGATTCTTCAACATCAACTTCGTTGGACTGGTCATGTTGTTCGGATGCCTGATTATCATCTTCCAAAGCAACTACTCTATTCCAAACTTAAAAATGGAAAGCGTAATGCTGGTGGTCAACAAAAGAGGTTTAAAAACTCTCTCAAGGCAAATCTAAAAAAATGTAGTTATAAACACTGACAATTGGGAAACACTGGCCTGTGAGCGCTCCAATTGGAGAGCAGCCTTTACCAAAGGTGTCATGGACTTTGAAGACACTCGAACTCAGGACAAAAGGGAGCAATGAAGTAAGGCACGTTTAGCAAACCCTCACTATGACCAACTCCCACCTGAAAACCTATGCCCCCACTGTGGAAGGATGTGTGGATCCAGAATTGGCCTCCACAGTCACCTCTGGACACACCACTAAGACTGGTTCATGGAAGACAATCTTACTCGGCTATGAGTGATCGCCAAAGAAGAAGAAGACCAGCTTTTCAAAGTCTGGCGGTCTTTGAAAAGCCCCTTTGCCTCTTAGCACCCCGCTAGGTAATCCTATTGCTCCCCAGAAGGCAGTACCGCCCACTTTGGGAACCACTGATCTACCTGAATATATAAGCTGTTAAGAGAGCCTGGCCGTCCTTGGAAATCCAGTTGTTCACATCAGTCAGCAGAACTAAGCCCACAATAAGCTATTTTAAGCAGCTTAAGGATTGCACCAAATTGCTGCATAAGGATAAATCTTTTCTTTGCCCCAACACTGCTTGGCCAAAAAAAAGCACCTTGCCATTGGGAGTTTCATAACAGGCTATCTGGAAAAGAGCTTCACAAAGGAAAAGGTCTGTAGCTTAGTGATAAAACACCTGCTTGAATCAATTCTTCACATCTCCAGAAAGGGCTGAGATAGACTGCCTCCTGAAATCCTGGAGAGCTGCTTCCAGTCAGTGTAGACAATACTGAGCTAGATGGATCAATAGTCTGACTCCGCTCCCAATGTTCCTAAGAGCTGATGCTTTATCTTGAAAAACACAAAATGTTTATCCAAGTCTCGTCATGGCACCTTGCAGACAAAGCTAAGCTTTCTTGGACCCATGATAACTCTTTATGCATCTGATGAAGTGGATTGTGGTTCACAACCATAAGAAATACGTTAGTTTTTAAAGTGCTGCTGCACTCTGGGCAGTTTTTGCTGCAACAGACTAACATGGCTGCCCCTCTGGAAATCTGCCCCCCAATCCTTCGGCTTTCTGGTCATTATATGCGAGTGATTTCTTCTTGGCCTATTCTTTATTAATAGTTCTACTGAATTTTTGTTGTTGTTGTTGTATTATTCAATTTATATATCACCCTTTATCAAAAGATCCCATTTGGCATCTAACAAGTTCTGGAGGGCCACAGGTTCCTTGTCACTTGTCTTTGTCACATTCTCTAGTCCATGACATTTACACCATAATAAGGCTGCATACATACCGTACATTTAAAACATGTGTTCCCCCCCCCAAAAAAATTCTGGGAACTGTTGCTTGCCAAGGACCCTGGGAATTGTACCTCTTTAAAGGGTAAACTATAGTTCCCAGGATTCTTTGTGGGGAGCCACATGCATTAAATGTACTTCAAATGTGTGGGGGGTGAATGCAGCCTAAATCTATGAGTCTTTCGGGTGTCACAAGACTTTGCTGTTTGTCTTACACTAATCTAACACAACCATCCCTTGTTGGGGGGGGGGACCCCAAAGCAGCAAGCAGGTATCTCTCTGTTGAAATAAAGCAAAGCTCACTGGTAGAACACGCTTTGAATGGTGTATGCTCCCAAGTTCACAGCCTGGTACGTCTGGTTCAAGGCTGTAAGGGGAGCCTGTCTGCCTGGAGAATACCTTTGCCTGAGACCTTGGGGAGAGCTGCTGTCAGCCGGGAGCAGTTGGTATGTGGCAAGATGATCACGCTCTTGTCACAGCCACAGAAGGAAATTGGGCGTGCACAGTTGATCCCGTGGGCACAGCATACCAGCCAGCAGGACTGGCAAGGATCCAGTGTTGGATGACTGAAGTCCTTGGATGTGGAAATCAAATGTGCTTCATGGTCAGTCTCATTTCTGAAGAGTGGACAGATTCCCTTTGAAAGGAATGGGAACCCCCCCCTTCCTTTTCAATAAAAATTGTAGTGAGAGTTGGGGCTGCAGCAGGGTGGGGTGCAGCTAAGGGCAAAAGCTCCCTAATACCCAACATGTGCCCACAGGACTGCTTTGATTGGTGGAATTGGCATTACTACAGGTGCCCCATAATACCTTGTATAATATCCATAATACCCATTCTGCTTTCGTGAGGACTTGGTGGTTCAGTGTGGCAGCACCTGCACTTTGCAACTCCCTGCCTATTGAGATTAAGCAGGCACTTTTAAAATTTGGTTTTATAAATTAGAAAATGAATAAAAAATAATTGCCCCCCCCCAAGAGAGATCCAGCAGGTACTTTCACTTTTACTCTCTTCGGTGCCTGCTAAAAACATCCTTATTTTGGCTACCCAGATGCTTAGAAACTTGAGATAATTTAAATCAGTTTCAGCATTTTAAATTTTGTATGTTTTAAAGTAGAGCTGTAAATTTTCCTTGATTTTCTTGTTTATCTTCTTCTAAACTGCTTTGAGGGGTTTTTTCCCAATCAAGCAGTATATACCGTATTTTTCCGTGCATAAGACTATATTTTTCCCTAAATTTTTGAAGTTTAAAATAAGGGGTCATCTTATACATGGATAGTGCATAGTGCATTTTCCTAATTTTGGGTTTTAAAAAATAGGGGTCATCTTATACATGGGGGCATCTTATACACGAAAAAATACAGTATTTTTAATAAATAAATAAATAAATGAATGAATAAAAGTTCTCCCCATGCTACATTCACAATACTGTGCTCCCTGCCCCCACAACAAACATTTAAAGCACATGGCTTCCCCCAAAGAATCCTGGGAACCATAGTTTAAGGGTGCTGGGAATTGTAGCTGTGTGAGGGGGTGAACTACAGCTCCAAGGTTTCTTTGTGGGAAGCTATGACTGTTAAACTGCTATAAATGTGCTTTAAATGTTATGGTGTGGGTGTGAATGAACCTTAAATTCATCATAAACTGGCTTATGGGAGGGTCATAGCTTAGGGGCAGAGCATTTGGTCTGAATGCAGAAGGCCCTAGATTTAATCCCTAGTATCTCCAGCTAGGACTGGCAAAGATCCCTGTCTGAAACCATGGAGAGCTGCTGCCGGTTGGTGCAGACAAGACTGGGGTAGAGGGACCAGGGACCTGCTTTGATATAAGGCAGGTTCCTATGTTCCTTAATTACCTGAGAAATTAATGGAAGGCTTTATGTAATATTAATTGGCTCGGTTTACTGGGCTCCTGCCCAGCCTAAGGACAAACCACAGGTCATCATGCCCTTCTTGTGGGGGTAATCTATTCTGGCCGTAACATGACACACACCCCTTAAACCAAATACAGAACAACCTTGCCCTTTTCAACCTGCAGCTACTTCCAAAGCAAAACCTCTTCCTCCATGCTTCAGCGGCTATGCACATCCTTTCTCCATGTGGCAGTGCAGGAATTGGGGGGTCCTGCGGTCCTCCTGGGCTGGGCAAGAACATCAGCCCCAGCCAGCCTGGCCAACACTCAGGGATGAGGGAAGCTGTACACTGAGTGCATCTGGAGAGCCCAAGGGTCCCCACACTTTGGTTAAAATGATAATGCATTGGGTAGTCACTTACCATGTACATCAGGGGTCAGAAACCTGTGGCCTCTCCAGGTGTTGTTCAGACTCCGACTCCCATCAGCCACAGCAACCAGCGTAGTCATGGATGAAGGGAGTTGGAGTCCAGTGAGGTCCAGGGTCCAAATCCCTCTTAGCCATGAGCCCTGCCAGGTGACTGTAGGCTGCTCACAGCCTCTCATCCTAACCTACCTCACAGGGTTGTCGTGAGGATGCACCACTTTGGAGAAAAGGTGGAGAATAATTGCAATGTTAAGTAACTAAATGATACCAGGAAGGCTACAGATATCCTGCAAGGCTCTTCCACACATATATAGTGGTACTGCGGGTTACATACGCTTCAGGTTACAGACTCCACTAACCCAGAAATAGTACCTCGGGTTAAGCACTTTGCTTCAGGATTAGAAATCGTGCTCCGGTAGCGCGGCAGCAGCAGGAGGCCCCATTAGCTAAAGTGGTGCTTCAGGTTAAGAACAGTTTCAGGTTAAGAACGGACCTCCAGAACGAATTAAGTACTTAACCCGAGGTACCACTGTATGGGATGATCATGTGGGCTCTAACCATTCCCCCAAATTCTGGGCGGGTAAGTGGATGCTCTGTTCCAGCAGCCGCAGCCAACGTGGTGCTCTCCAGACGTTGCTGAACTACAACTCCCAGTGACCACTGGCTATGCTGGCTGGGGCTGATGGGAGTTGTAGTCCAGCAAAGTAAACTAGAATCACACATCCAGGGTGGGGCACCCCGTTGTCTGCCTCCTCTTGCTTTATTAATCTCTGCGCATCGCCTCCCTTGCAGTTTGCAGCGGGTTAACTCGCGCGCTCTGCCCAGCGGTCTATTATGAAACTGCTGCTGTAACAGTTTGGGAATTGCGAAGCTCCTGGCTCCTCCCACCTGAGTCCCGGGAGCCAACGAGAGGGCTCCCAGGGCCGCTCAGGCCACAGCCATCTCCTCATTGGCCACTCCTCCCGGGGCGTCTCTGATTGGTGACACCCCACGGCTTGGTGTGAGCGCGGGCGGCCAATGAGCGCGGCGCGTTTGCTTGCTTTTGCTTGCTGCTGCTGCAAGGGGACGCGGAGGCTGGGAAAGTGGGTGGCGAGCAAGTGGCTGATGCATGGAGGGTCAAAGGTGATTGATCTGGAGTAACCGGCTTCCCATCACACCACTCCGGTGGCTGATGTTGCTTTCAGCAAACAAACAAACAGACGAGAGAGAAAAAAAATTAGAATAAAATAAGGAGTGGAGGAAGGGGTGGGGGAATAAAGGAGGAGTTTTAAATTATTATCCTTTTTCCCCTCTCCCCCTCTTCCTTTCAAAGAGATGGGAGGGACTCCGGCATTGAGTGGGAAGGAGGAGGAGCTTTAGGCTGGTGTGTTACACGCACAGGCACCACGCAGACTCTCGCCCTGAATGGGAGAGTGCCTGCCAACCATCTCTTCTGCAGCAGCAACAGGAGGAGCAGCGCCGCCAGCCTGCTGCGCCGGGCCTGGAGGCTTCGGGGGCATCCCTCCTTTCTCCGCAGAGAGCACCTGGAGGTGAGCACCACGTGGGCAGCAGCCCTTTTGGGTCTCGGGTACCAGTGTGCAGCCATGGTAGCCTTACAATGAAAGAAACGGGAGCGGGGTGGGAGGTCAGACCCTGGTTTCTTTCTTTCTCTCCCTTCCCAGCACCATCCCCGGCTCCTCCTTGTTTCCAGCCCTAGTCCATCTTGCGTGGTTTGAGTGCACAAGGAAGTGGGTCACTGTTGCATGTGTGTCCTCTGTATTGGGGGTGTTTTGGAGTCTAGATCTTGGGGTGGGGGGGAGGACGGCTCCCTGATGAACGAGGAGATAGGGGAAAGTGCTTTTTAATCACAGCCTGTGCCTGAGTATTTGCCCTGTACACATTCACCCCCCTCCCATAGCTGTCAACGTTTCCCTTTTTTAAAGGGAAATTCCCTTATTCCGAATAGGATTCCTCGCAAGAAAAGGGAAAAGTTGACAGCTATGCCCCCTCCCCAAACCCTGAGAACTGTGGTGTACCCCTCACAAAGCTACAGTGCCCAGCACCCTTAACAAACTACAGTACCTAGGATACTTTGTGTGGGATGTAATATGCTTTAAATGTATGGTGTGTACACAGCCACACACACAGCAGTCTGCCAGGATTTGGTCTCTGGCGCCTAAACAGTTCTGCTTTAAAAAAATCTCTGGGAGATTGCTACTTCCTGAGGATTGAGTGGAAGGGGAGAGGAAATAAGACCCCCCCCCCGTGGAATGCAGATGGGATCCCTAATGAAGGGAGCAACAAGAATTATTCCCCAGTGCAGGAAACCACTAGGGCAAGGAGGAGGAGTGTGATGATAGCACAATATATTTATTGTAAGCAGTAAATCTCCAGTTTATTGTAAGCAGGGATGGGGAACCTTTGTTCTTCCAGATGTTGGTGGACTCCCAACTCCCATCAGCTCCAAACAGCGTGGCCAGCAGTCAGGGATGATTTGTAATCCAACATCTGGAAGGCCACCGATAGGAATATAGCGAATTGTCTTATACGTACTGAGTCAGACCACTGAGCTTCCTATCTTAGTGTACACTGACTAGCAGAGGTTCTTCATGGTTTTAGATGCAGGACATTCCCAGTTCATCCTGGAGATGCCAGGGATTGAACCTGGGACCTTTGTGTGCAAAGCACATGCTGTATCCACTGAGCTATGGGCAGTGGTAGAAATTCAGCTACATAAGCTAGGTGCCAAATGGCTCCTTAAAACAGGGTTACAGTCACTAAAACAGAATGCCTAGTTGCCATTTTGGGGTCAGACAGCTCAAAAGTCTTATTTTCAATACAACCTTTTGGTTCCTGAAATTCATTCTGATTGTGCAGATAAAATATAACAGAATTCTACAGGATATGTTGCTAGTGTGTGAAAATAGTCAAGATCCAGGGATCCCCAGGCATGCACTTCCAGATGGTGGAGACATCAGGTGCCATCCGGGCAACTGGGCACATTCACTTGGTTCCAAGTGCCCAATAGCCAGGTGCAAAATGCACTTGGCACCTGGCGAATTTCTAATGCCCAAGATGTTCCCCTCTCCTTCTGTAACTTTGGCATTTGATACTGGAGAGAGATTTTAAAGGAAAAACATCCCCCCCCCCCTCCACCCATCTTCTGATTGTATTTCTTAAAAACAGATTTTATTGTTGTAACCTATCCTGGGACCTTCTAAGAAATCATAATAATTCCACAACTTAGAAGCTCCCACAGAGAAAGCCATCTTCCAAGCCCCTGTATACCAATAGCCCCCCCCCCCGCAGCTGTCTTAACATCTGCGGGGGTCTGTAGCACAGGATATGTTCTTTCAGATACAGGCAGCCACTGTTTTAGGTGCCCATGAGATGTCTGTGACCACATGCGTGCGCATCGCATCGAACACAAAAGTGATCCAATAATGTCACAAAAAAGTCACAAAAAGGGTGGAACGAGGATAGGTTGTTTGCAGGCTTTTTCAATGGGTTTCAAATATACACGATTTCACTTAAACGTGTGGTGCCTTGGAATGTAACCTCAACGTAAGTTTGGAGTTGTGTGTATTTGGGGCCTAACTTGTTGAGGGCTTTAAATGCTGGTGTATAAGAATAAGAATAAGTTCAGAGTAGGTGCACAACGGTGTGGCTGTGGTGATGATGAGGACAGACTGGCCGAAGTCTGCATCTGTCCACTGAACAAGATTGCAGCGTGCATATATTCTCTGTGAATTTGCTTGAAATGACCATCTCTCTCCCCCCCCCCTTTGGCTATTTTTATTAAGGTCTGCCCTGAGGTCAGGTAATCCCTACTGTGTTTAAAATGATTAAAGAGGTTTGGGGTTTTCTGCTGGTCCCCATGATTAAAATCTCAAGCCTGCTAGAACAGTTGCCTTATATGCTTTCAGACTCGGGACTCACCCTTAGTGTAAGCATGCATTTTGCTGGACAGGGGGGTCCTCTATCACAAATTTTGGATGCTGTATATTTTCATGAAAAATAGTTCTTCTCTTGCAACACTTGAAAGTGGGTCCTGACCATAGCTCTCAACCTTCCCTTTCTTTGCGGGAAATTCCCTTATTCCAGCGCCGTTTCCTGCTGCTATCCCGGATTGTTAGATATCCCGCAGACTGTCCCCGGGGCAGGTGAGGCTGCTGATCCCTTATTTTCAAATCTGAAAGTTGACAGCTATGGTCCTGACCTTCATCTTGAAGACCAGTGGCCCAGAAGCACAATAGATTCAAATAATAGAGTTGGCAGGTTCCTAATATAGCCCAGTTAGGAAACAGGAAATCCATATTCGAGGTTGTCTGGCCTCTCCTTGAAGGCATCCAGCAAGGAAGAGAGCCCACTCCCCCTGCTTAGCTGCTCTTATCTTCAAGATGTAGCTCGTAATGTTCAACCCAAAATCTACACTCTTGTACCCTCAGGCTGTGAGATCTAGTAGATGTTAGCAAATGGGCTATTGGATTTGGGTAAGGAAGCCCTGCAGACCTTGCCGAGTTCACCTGTGAACTTGCCGGGTTAGTCTTAAGAAAGCCACCATCTCTTAGGATATTTTGTGGGTTAAGTGTTTGAGCTATGAGCCAGGAAGTCTTAGACTCAGATCTCAGCCCAGCCGTGACCTCCAACATTCCAGGCCACCATATCCGTAATAGAACTGTGAGTATCAAAGCCTGAACTTAGAGGAGTTGAACAGAGTTAAGCATGTTGACACTTAAAGAAAAAAGAAAAAGGTCATAGAATTTTCTAATAATTGTTGTTAGGTCAACTACTGATCTATGGCTCCTTCCTTTCTACAAACTGCCCTGCAGTTCTAAAGTCTCCAAAGAACTGTTTCATTCTTCTGGAAGAACCACAGGTAATCCAGAGAGGCAGCAATGTTAAGCCTTTATAGTGTCACAAGACTCTTGGCTGTTCTTGCTGCAGCAGACTAAGCAATTTACTGCAGCATAAACTTATCAAGCAGCAGAGCCCGCTTCAGCTACACAAAGCGTTATTCATCATTAAAAGTTAGAAATAAATGTTGTATTGAATAGCAACAAGTGGGAATGGCAACAAAACGTTGCAGTTTGTGGTGTGCTTCTGCTTGGCGTTCCAGCCAGCCAGCCTTCCTAAATTGAGCCCCGAGGCCTCTCATAGAAGCAGAGCAAGCTGCCTTTTGCAGATTTAGATCATTGGACTACGTAGCTCAATATTGTCTACACTGAGTGGCAACATCTCTCTAAGACAGGCTTCCTCAACCTCGGCCCTCCAGATGTTTTTTGCCTACAGCTCCCATGATCCCTAGCTAGCAGGGATGATGGGAATTGTAGTCTCAAAACATCTGGAGGGCCGAGGTTGAGGAAGCCTGCTCCGAGATCTCAGACTTGGAACCTGGAATCTTTTGCATGCAAAACAGATGTCCTACCACTGAGCTGAGACCCTTCTCACAGTGGTGCTTTTACCTGATGCCCTAAAACCGTTGGCTCTCTTTCAACCTCCTTTTCTTGGGTGGTGCTGTGGTGTAAACCACAGAGCCTAGGGCTTGCCGACTGGAAGGTCGGGGGTTCAAATCCCCACGACAGGGTGAGCTCCCATTGCTCGGACCCAGCTCCTGCCAACCTGGCAGTTCGAAAACACGTCAAAGTGCAAGTAGATAAACAGGTACCGCTCTGGCTGGAAGGTAAACGGCGTTTCCATGCACTGCTCTGGTTCACCAGAAGCGGCTTAGTCCTGCTGGCCACATGACCCGGAAGCTGTACGCCGGCTCCCTCGGCCAATAAAGTGAGATGAGTGCAGCAACCCCAGAGTCGGCCACGACTGGACCTAATGGTCAGGGGTCCCTTTACCTTTACAGTGGTACTTCTGGATGCGAACGGGATCCCTTCTGGAGCCCCATTCGCATCCTGAAGCGAACGCAAGCTGTGTCTGTGCGTGTGCGGGTCACGATTTGCCGCTTCTGCGCATGCGCGCAACGTCATTTTGAGTGTCTGCGTGAGTGGCGAAACCCGGAAGTAACGCACTCCGTTACTTCTGGGTCGCCGCGGAGCGTAACCTGAAAACGCTTAAACTGAAGCACATTTAACTCGTAGTTCTATGTGTTGCAATGGAGAAAGGATTAAAACCTGACTGCCGTGCCTTCATCTAAGTTCACTCTTTGCTATCCCACTGAAGGAGTATGTTGCAGTGGAAACTCCAATCTTATCTGAGCATTGAACCAGACATTTAAATCTCCACCCACTAGTCCCTTTGCAGGGTTGGCCAATCACTGCTTTGCAAAGGGGCATTCTTGACTGCCTTGATTGCCACCCAAATGACTTGCAAGGCACACATTGCACATGCTTTCTGGATTGTGATGCAAGATGGCAGATGTGCACAGGCCTAGGCTTTAGCATCCCCAGTTGACCCTGATAGGTTGGCACTTCCCTGCAAAGGAGGATTTAACTCAGGAGTGGGGGAGATTTGCCCCTCCAGTTGTTTTTGGACTAATAGAGCCTTCCCTCAGCCTGTTGCCCTGTGCTGGCTCATGAGAATTGTACTCCAAAAGAGACAGAGGGCGCCACGTTGGGGAAGGCTGGCTTCCCAGAGCATCATGTGAGCCTCTCCTTGACTCTAGGATGGGTGGTTTGTTCTGAGCCAAGGGAGGGAAAAGATTAAAGGTACTTCAGTGGGTGGGTGCGGGGAGGCGAGATACTTTGTCACGGTTTTTAAAGTCAATAAAATGGGTGTTGTGATATTGGCTACGTCACAGTGTGTTGTAATCCCCGTTAGCCTGTGCAATCCTTTCCTTGGGATGTGGGGTTGAACAGGTTGGATGTGTGCCTTGATATTTCACTCACTGATTAAAAAACCCACACAAGATTAAATAGAGGGCTGAGGGATTTGCGTTGGTCTTGCTCGGTTTGTCCAAAATATTTCCAGCTTTGGAGGACAACCCACATAGGGCAGCCATCAGTACAGTAATAAAATCCTAAAGCGTCACGATCTGCTGTATGGAGTTTCTCTTTTGTACATCATACCTGCTTGCAGGGATGTGAAGACTGGGGCGTGCCTGTAGGCTTATTTTTATTTATGACATCTTGTATACCGCCCTTATACCTGCAGGTCTCAGGACGGATACAGCATAAAACCATCATATAAAAACACAAAATACATAGTAAGAATAATAACAAAAACAACCCAATGCTCCCCCCCCCCATTTTTAAAGAGATGTCAATCAGGCAAAGGCCTGGTTAAAGAGAAACATTTTTGCCTGGCACCTAAAGGTGTACAGTGGTACCTCGGGTTACAGACACTTCAGGTTACAGACGCTTCAGGTTCAAATTCTGCTAACCCAGAAATAGTACTTCGGGTTAAGACCTTTGCTTCAGGATGAGAACAGAAATCGCGCAGCGGCAGCAACGGGAGGCCCCATTAGCTAAAGTGGTACCTCAGGTTAAGAACAGTTTCAGGTTAAGAACAGACCTCCAGAACGAATTAAGTTCTTAACCCAAGGTACCACTGTATAACGAAGGTGCCAGCTGAACCTCCCTTGGGAGAGTATTCCACAATGGGGAGCCACTGCCGAAAAGCCACGTTCTTGTGTTGGCACCCTCTGGACCTCTCATGGAGGAGGCACACGAAGAAGGGCCTCAGAAGATGATGATGTATTGCGGTTTGAGACACAGTCCACATCCATGCTATACAATTAAAGCAATACGGTACTACTTCAGT